AGACAGTAGCGGCTAGAATGCTAACACTAATATCTTAAAGTATAAGACAATAAAACTATCTTTTGTAAGTTCTAAGGAATAAGAATAATTTCCTTCAACGATTCACTGGGAGAATTGGAATTAAGTAGAGGGTATGCGTTTTAACAGATGAATTGTTGCTTTATCATTAGGATTCAGAAATTTAGGAAATTGCAAAATTTGAGAAAATTGCTTATATACAGGAAAGCTTCAATTTATTCGTATAACTATCCTAAGTTGACTTTATCTCATTATATTGAAACACACAGTGGAACCTAACACAACTGTAACAATTGATTATAGTAAGCAAGTCTTGGAGTTGATAAATGATTTTCAGAATAGGGTTTTGATTTTGGTCAGATTCCTTTTCCATGAATTAAAAGCTTTGCAATAAATAAACTCTAAGATTTCTTCTATACCAGTAAGGATACAACCGTTATCTCAATAAAATATGAACTAGTCGTTTAACTCGTCAATCGAGAGGCAAGTTTAGGTTCTTTTTTTAATTGGTTCGTTTACTTGTGAGAGTTTGAATTGCGTAAAGGTTATTCAATTGTTGGAATAAAACGGGTAATCCTATCTATAATCAACAGTGGTTTTGCTGCCAGAGCCCTTCCTGAATAAGATCAATATGGAGCAGCAGCAACACTACTTTCTGTATTTGATGAAGATTCAGTTTTCAAAAAAAAAAGCAACAAGCAAATCAAAGTGTTAACTAATATTTCACAGAATCAAAGTTGGTTGCAAAAGTAGTAAAACACCTCAGTCATCAAAACCCTGCATAAAATGTATACCCGGAAACCTGTTATAATTTTTATAGGATCATATCTTATCACCGAAAACACCTGTCTCCATTACTAGAAGAATCCACAAAATCCATCATTAGAGAGGGTTTATTCTAGAACACCTCAGTTATCAAAACCCTGCATAAAATGCATATCCGCACACATGTTATAATCCCAATTTTATAGTATCATATCTTATAGCCGAAAACACCTGTCTCCATTCCTAGAAAAATCCATAAAATTCATTCTTAGAGAGGGTATCTGGTAAAAACACTTCAGTTATCAAAACCCTGCATAAAATGTATATCCACAAACCTGTAATAATCCCAATTTTATAGTATCATATCTTATCACCGAAAACACCTGTCTCCACGAGCAATCCACTTAATGCATCCATTAGAGAGGGTTTATGGTGGTGTTTGTGGAGTTTCTCTAAAAAAGTATTTTGCGCTTTTTTATGCATTGAAGAACACAACATCCAACAGGACAATTGAACCTGTGACACAAAATGTTGGAGAAAATGTCGTTTTGTTTCAGATAAGAGGGGATCATATTGGAACTTCCTGATAAGAGGAGTGTTTATTCTATTTGCTATATTCAAACATGATTCTTATTATCATTGGAGATCTCGCCCTTACTAAAGAAAGGCTAATTGGATCAATCTATAGGGAGAATGTGTTAGCTTAATAGTGGGCCATTGCTCTGGTGCTTCTTCCAGATAAGGAGATGTATTTATTTCAGTCACCTTCTACTTTTTCCAATGGCACAATAGATGGTCCAACAGAGGAGCAAAATTGTATTTTCTGAAGTTTTCATTGACACCACCAATAGAGGGACAGACAGATCTGTGGAATTTGAATGGGCCCTAGGAGCCGTAGATATCCAACAATCGCAACACATAATCAAACATAGTTGTAGAGTTTGCCAAAGGAAGTTGTCAATTGCAAAAAATTTGCCAGTTACCCCTTATTCTCACCTCCATTACCTACCAGTGTTAACACTTTGCCACAAATCCGATGTGATAGGTTCTTTTTCTTGACTTCAGAGAGAATGATAAGACTATAACTTGTGATATAACTCGAGTTCTGTTCTCTTTTGCATGATTTTAATGATAGTAGTTCATGAATACAAAATGAAAACAAGATATTGGAAACAATTGAATCGATAAGAACAGCTTGATTCAAACTTCATACTTCTTTTGTCATAGAGATATAAGAAAGCACATTAGAGAGGATTGCAAACAATAAGTTGGAATTTGTGTAAAATAATTAATTTAAATATTTTTTGTTGCAAAATGGTTCAAGCCTCGTTTAGATCAATTTCATCATCAATTAATTATATGCAGGAAGCATCATTCCACACACATTCAAGTTACTATTTTTAAAGTTTACGGGCTGTTTCTAATAACATTTACGGTATTTATTATGAAATAAAAAAAAATACTATACAAGGTATACAATCCAAACGCAGATAGAGCCTCTTGGCCTTCATCTAAATTGAACAAAAATCTCTAAAAAAAAGGCAATCATCCTACAATTTTCTTCTAATTCTTGGTATGAGCAGGTGGAGGACCACTAGGAGGACCATATTCATCAGTTGGAGGAGGTGCACCAGGAGGAGGAGCGAAATTCTGATTAGAATATCCATTACTATTTCCATAACTACCCAGTTCTTGATATTGATTAGGATATTCTGGTGGAACATACCCAGGGTTAGGTTGTGGAGGTAAATCATTCTTATATCCAGCACCACCATCCATTGGACCCATCTGTTGATTATAATAGTATCCACTTCCAGGGGGAGGAGCGTTCATCATTTGCGGAGGAGGTGGGGGTGGCATTGGTTGTTGTAAGGCGACTACTCTTCTTTTTCTTCTTTTCATAAATAAGTAGGATAATAAAATGAGGAAAGGGATGACTAGTAAGATCCATAATAACCATCTCTTAAGTCTCCATTGTTCGTACGTAGTTAATCTTTTCACTAATGTGAGTTTATCTTGAGGTAATAACATTACGTGTTCTCTCTTGGTTATACAATACAATTGAAAAGAAAGAAAGAAAGTGGTAGTTAATAAAACTTTTATGATTCTTGGAAAGTTTATTTTTTTTAACAAAAAGGGACTGTCTAAGTAAACTGTAAACCTTAGTCTAAACTGTAAAAACCCAACACTTCTGTCGTAATAATTTGAGATCTGTCGTAAAACATTTTTATCATTTGTCGCAAACGATTTCAGATTGTTTTTTATTCGCGCAATTTTTTTATAAACGATACAAAAAAAGGAGAAAGGCGTGTTGTTAAAAAAAAAACTGATAAAGATAGAAGCAACATAACAACTCCAACCCTAAAACCACAGATCTCAATTACAATCCACAAGTAGTCATCACTTCTTAGGAGTTGCTACACACACATCAACAACCCATAATCAATCAGGTGACACACATATCAAAATTGATTGATAAAAAATAGATTTGGACATATTTTGAAATAAACAAATCAGTGACACTAAGATCTTCATTGAATCACAAAAGATAAAGCATAGAATCAACCAATCATGAGTTTCTTTATGGTACCATCAGTGTCATATCAGACACAAGAGAAATTAAAGAAACATAAAAAGGTCAAAGGAACTAAAAAGAAGAGAACATCCCCCACTAGTGGAACTTCAACTCCTACCAAATTAAGAACAAGTTCAAGTACAAAAGGAAGTGTAACCAGTGAAGAAAGTAATCATCAGCATCAGCCACCAACACTGCCAATTGATAAAAAAATACCATTACCAACATCTGAAGATTTCACTAATAGTAAACAACAATCACCATTACCTAAAGTAACTGAACCTGAAGAAGATCTTTCACTTAAAATTGCATCTAGATTTAGTGAATCATTAAATAAATCACCACAATATCATGGAATGTCAACAACAGCTTCCTTAACCTCATTACCTGGAGCCTCTAATACAGCCAATACATCATCTCCATCCGCAGGTGGGGCAACCGCAACAGCAATGGGCATCACTCATTCATATCATGGAGTAACACAACGACAGTATTTAGACCGTCCTCAAGTCCATTATGTTAGACCAAGGTCAGGATCAGTATATTCGCATGCGATTGTCAATCCATCAGATTCACATCATCCTTCATTATCTTCCCATAGTAGACAAGGAACGGCTAATAATATGTCAGTAGCTTCTGGGTCGGGTGCTCCTGTGATTACACCTAAAGGGTTCAGGAAATTGTCATTGTTCGCCAAGTCGTCATCACCGGCACAACCACAACAACAACAACAACAGCTGAGAAGGGGTAGTGATGTGAGTAGTATGCATTCAAAAGCAACAGTAGGGCTGGGGAATATTGGCGATACTTCTGAGGTTCTGGCTAGAGGTGTACCTAAATTTAAACCAATTATAGATTTGACGGTTTTGAATAGTATGGAAGAAATGGAGAAATGTTTCTTTACTCCAGGATATGCTATATTTAGATATAATAATTTTTTAGCATTATTGAGTGATAATCATACTAGTGATGCAGTTAATTTTGCCAATGTTAGAAATCATTCATTATTAAAATTTATTGTTCGACAGAAGAATGCCGGTCATTTATTAAAGAAGAAGCATGGATTTGAACATTTTGATATTAGAGTATATGAAAGTTTATTAGCTTATGAATTATATACTTCTCGAGAATTTATGAGAAAATTGATTAAAGAAGCTAGTGATAATCATCAATTATATAATCATGAAGAATTGGTTCAGACTAATTTTGTTAATTATGTGAGATATTTATTGAATTTACCTAAAGATGTTAAGATGAAGGATTTGACTGACGATGAAAGAAGACATTATGAATATAAGGATTTATTCAAACGAATTGCCGAGGGGTTATATTTGATGAAGAGAGAAGAAACTAATGATATTGTTACTAATGAGAATGATTGGGCTTTGAAGACTAAATTATTATTGGAAACTATTACAAAAGTATGTTATGAATATATCTTATTGGAGAAATATAGTATTGATATTTTTACAAAATTTCATGATAATAAAATATTTGATTTACGTATATTATCCAAGATTTTTAATAATTTCCATGAACATATGAAGACTCAAAATCGTGAAAGTTGTAAATTATTATTTTTCAACACATTTTATTCAATTCAATATGGATGGTATATTGCATTAACAGTCCCATTTGTTCGAGTATTTGAAACCAATGTCTATGTTGAAGATAAACATCTTATTGAGAATGAAACCCGATATCATCAATTTGCTCAATCTAAACAACAAATCGATTTCACTGCCAGTGATTCAGAATTATATGACACATATTTCAAAAAATTATTATTTTCATCATTTGAAGAATATAATCAAATGAGTTTGGAGAAATTAATCAAAATATTAAAATTAATCGATAATCAATCACCCAAATATTCAAGAATTAATCGTCATGAAATCCCAGATCCATCGGCGACATATAGTCATAATCCTATGAATTTCGAATATTTCAACTCTGGTTTAAGTTCAATCCAATCAAACACTTTTGAAATGGTAAGTTGTCCAGACTTACCTCTTCAAGTCAATAGCGCGAATTATAAAACCATCCTAAATGAATTTCATCGGATATTAAAAATTGACGGAGTTTTCGAGACTAATTGTTTACAATTCGGTTCTAAAACAATTCATCAATTTCTAGAACGAAATAGAAGTGGAAGTTTTCCAAGAAATTGGGATTATGATGAATTTAATCTTGTGAATTATTATACTGTCATGCCAGAATTTGTTCAAACTGTCTTAATGGCATTATGTGATATTTTCGGTAAGGATAATGTCACATATAATATCTTATTATTACTGTCTAATTTGGAAGTGAATAATTTTTTGATTAATTTTAATGGATTGAAATTATTTGAATTGGTGGGGAAATTTAGTGAATATTGTAATTTGTTTGAAGATACTGGGGAATCAGTTAAGCTGGATAATGATACTAGTATCCATTTTATGGTTCATATTAAGGCGATTAAGACGCGGACAAGTTTATTCTGAAGAGAAGGGCACAGTAGTCCTTCACCCCCTTGATGCTGGTCATTCAAGGGCATTTTTTTTTTAGTTTGGTTACTTGTTTTATAGTTTTGCATTTGACAATGAAGAACAGTTGTTGTTTTAATTAGAAATATTCCTGCATCGTGTTATTTTAATTGTACGTACGGCTATACGATGCGGCATAGCTCTTTTCAAATTATTCCTTCTTATATATTTGGCAAATTACATTGTGTAACTTTACTGTTCTCCGCGAATGTTACAGAGAGATCTTACTCCTGGAAACCAATGAAAGTAGTGTTTAATGAAGTTCATTGTCAATTACGAATGACTCATTAGTCGCCACCAAATTAAAAAATCAAAGTCATAGTTATTTAAGCGCGCCAATTGCCTGAAAAAAAAAACTTTTTCTTATCAACTAAATTTTTCACTTCCCTTTTAATTCTCTTCTATTCATCTAATCATCAGCATATCAATTGAACCAAAAATGACAGAAACAGTCTACATAATCGACGTAGAAAGTGGAAACCTTCAGTCCCTCTCCAACGCCATCAAACACATCAACCCCAACTATGAAATCAAATTCATCCACAACTTGTCCGAATTCCAACAATATGACACCCAGATCAGAAAATTATTATTCCCTGGAGTTGGGAACTATGGCCATTTCGTGAAAGAAATCCATAATCGGAACTTATCAGGTCCTATTCATGACTATATTCTGAGTGGAAGGTCGTTTATGGGGATTTGTGTTGGATTGCAGGCTTTCTTCAATCGGAGTGAAGAAAGTCCGGAATACAAGGGGTTGGGATATTTGGAGATGGATTTGTATAAGTTTGATAATTTGGATCCTGTGTTTGTTGAGAATGGATTGAAGAAGAGTGTGCCACATATTGGATGGAATCATGTGAGTGAATTGGTTGAGCCAGATGGAGGGTTGTTTGAGGATGGAGTTTCTTTGTATGGAATTAACACGATTAATAAATATTATTTTGTCCATTCTTATGCGGCAATTATAAAGAATGAAGAAGCTAAGAAAGGGTTATTGAAGTTTGGAAAGGAGAATGGATGGAATTTTGCCTTTGCCAAATATGGAAGTGAAGAATTTCTTGCTGCTATAAATAAAGGGAATTTCTTTGCTACTCAATTTCATCCTGAGAAATCGGGTGTTGCTGGATTGAAAGTATTGAAAGATTTCTTGGAAGATAAACAATTCCCCGTGATTGCTAAGAATGATGTTCAATCTCATCCAGAGACTGAAGTTACTTTAGGTGGATTGACTAGAAGAATTATTGCTTGTTTGGATGTTAGAACTAATGATGATGGAGATTTGGTTGTTACTAAAGGCGATCAATATAACGTTCGTGAAGAATCAAAAGAAGAAGGGGAATCTAAGAGTAAGGTGAGAAATTTAGGTAAACCAGTTGAATTAGCTACAAGATATTATAATCAAGGAGCTGATGAAATTACATTTTTAAATATTACATCTTTCCGTAATTCACCAATTAAAGATTTACCAATGTTACAAGTCTTGAAGAAAGCAGCAGAAACTATCTTTGTTCCGTTGACCGTTGGTGGAGGGATTAAAGATATGATTGATCCAGAAACTAATCAAGTTGTTTCAGCTGCCAAGATTGCTGATTTATATTTCCGTTCTGGTGCAGATAAAGTAAGTATTGGAAGTGATGCTGTTATAATTGCTGAGAATTATTATGCCAATAATAAGGTCAAAACTGGTACAACATCAATTGAAACCATTTCTGCAACATTTGGAGTTCAAGCTGTTGTCATATCGGTTGACCCCAAGAGGAAATATATTGCTTCACCTTCAGATACTTCAATGCAAGTTATAAAAATCACTGATCCTTCCAAATATGGTCCTCAAGGTGAACAATATTGTTATTATCAAGTTACATCACAAGGTGGTAGGAAAACTCACGAATTAGGAGCATTAGAATTATGTCTTGCATGTGAAGATTTAGGAGCAGGAGAAATCTTACTTAATTCAATTGATCATGATGGTTCAAACAAGGGGTATAATTTAGAATTATTAACTCAAATTAAAACCAATGTAAGTATTCCAGTTATTGCCAGTAGTGGTGCTGGAAATCCTCAACATTTTAAAGAAGTATTTGAAATGGAATGTGGTATTGATGCTGCTTTAGGTGCTGGATTGTTTCATAGAGGTGAATATAGTGTTAATGAAGTTAAAAGATATTTACAACAAGAAGCTAAAATGGATGTTAGATTAGATGATAATGTTGTGTTGTAGTCAGTTGTTTGTATATATATATAGAAAATTGCATATTTCCCAATTGTTTTAACTTATTAGTTTACTGTATCTCTGGGATATACTCCCTATCTCTCTCATATTCCAATACTCTCTCGCTGATATATAGAGAGATCTGATATCTAAAAGAAAACGGTATTACTATGTAAAATCTGGGGTAAATTTAATTTAATTAAAGGGTTCTGTTCGTATTAATCTGATGATGATCTGATTAAATATTATAAATTTTTTTATTACGTAATCACAACTAAAAAAAGGTACCAAAATCTTTTTTAATTACGTAATCAAAGGAAATCATTTAACTTCGGATCTTCTTTCTTTCTTTCTTTCTTTCTTTCTATTGGATGTTTTACATAACAAACAACAACAGGAGATTAACAATAGAAGTATAGAGTAGTGTAAACATATAGAAAGAGAGAAATAGAATGTACTGCTATGAGTATTATTAATGTCATTAAGAACAGAAGTCCATCTTCTTGTTTAAGAGATGAGCAACAATCAATTGATAATGATCAATTAAGTTCAAGTCCAACTGATTTATCTTACGATCAACAAGGACAACAACAACAACAATTCTCATTAAAGAAATCCAATTCATTTCCAATTCAATCAAATCTACCGAATATGTTTAATAACTTACGTACAAATGAGGAATCATCATCTATACCTCCAAAGCATCAACAGCAACAATCTTCAAGTAAAAGCTTCATCAAGAAATTACTTCATATAAATAACAAAGATGATATTCCCCTGACAACCAATGGCCCACCATCCACCAAGAGTCTGCTGCTGCTGCTAACACGAAAACTCCAACGAGGAGCTCCATTCATGTTTCATTCCCTCTCGGAAGAAATAACCAATGATCAAACCAGATTACATCCTCAATTATCAAAACTGATTGGTCATATCAAAATCCCGTCAATATTCATTAAAGGTGGTATGTCATTATTAAAAGTATCTCATAAATCACGAAAAAGAATCTTATTCTATATAGATCCTTCAAGTTTTAAATTCACTTGGAAAGTATCCACCAATCTGTCGCCCATGGTGCCAAGTAATCCAACAACAGTAGCAGCAGTCCCCGGAATTGTACTTCCAGCAGCAACCCCGACAATAACGACAACCGGTGGAGGAAGATTATCAATCTCAAGTGGATCATCAAGAACTTATGAATTCACTCTTGATGATATAAAATCAATCTATATGACAAAAGATGCAAGTAGTTATCGAGAAGAATTGAATATTTCAAAAGAATTTGAAAGTAAATGGATAACTATTATCTATTATAATTTAAAAAAGAAGAAATTAAAGACAATTCATTTAATAACTGATCTGATTCATGATTTTAAGAAATTTAGTTCAGTTTTAAATAATTTGAAACTGTTACGCGATGTTTTGTCAAAAGAGTTTTTAATCAATTTGAATGATTTAGATGAGAATCAGAGACTGGCTTTATTGGATGGGAATGAAGGTTCAGGGGATGGATACGATGTGGGGGATGATGATGAGGATGAGGGGAAACAAGTTAGGGAATTTCTTTCATTTGATGATATTTTGAAATATGCTAAACGATTGAATATTAATATAAATAGAAATCGATTACAATCTATATTTGATCATGTTTGTCGAAATGTAATCACCGCCCCGAATTCAAACATATTCGAAAAAGGATTAAATTTTGAACAATTTAAATTATTTATTTCATATTTAAAACGACGGGATGATATACAACAAATATGGAGTAACCTCATTGGACCCAATAACGAATTCATGACTTTCGAAACATTCAAGCATTTCATACTTAATATCCAACAAGAAACACTAGATCCAGATTATATCCTAAAAATATTCAATAAATTCAGTCATGACAACCATCACCTATCAATCGAAGGATTCAACAACTATCTTCTCTCCAAATACTGTCAACCCTTGAAAAGTCTCGAAACCTCCACCGACACATATTTCTCCCACCCCATGAATGAATACTACATCTCCTCATCCCATAACACCTACCTCATCGGAAGACAAGTCGTGGGAGACTCCTCGGTTGACGGATATATCCGGGCCCTACAGCGTGGATGTCGGTGTCTAGAAATTGATATTTGGGATGGCCCATCATCATCAACGTCAGATGAAGATTCTGAGAATAATAGTGAACCAGTTGTGAATCATGGAAGAACGTTCACGACTCTGATTAGGTTTGATAATGTGATTAGAACAATCAAGAAATTCGCGTTTGTACTTACTCCCTTCCCGGTGATTTTGAGTCTTGAGATTCATTGTTCGATTGGAAATCAGATTAAAGTTGTGAATATCTTACGGGAGATTTTGGGACTGGATATGATTACGAGTCCGGTGGATGATAGTAATACATTACCGAGTCCCCTGATGTTGAGATATAAGTTTCTTATCAAGGTGAAGAAAACCAGTCCATTTGAGAAGCTTATCGAGATGGAAAATGGGAGTTTTACCAGTGCAACTACAACCGCCACAACTACTACTACAACATCATTCAGTGAAGATAACGCCAGCACATCAACCTCGATCCCATTCATGCGGAAAACCAATAAGGTCACAAAAATCTCAAATGAATTATCGGATCTAGGAATCTATGTCCAAGGAATCAAATTCCGGAATTTCTCCCTTCCAGAATCCAAAACCTACAATCATGTCTTTTCAATCTCGGAAAAATCAATGAATAATATGATAAAAACCCCGGAGAAACAAGTGGCAATCGATAAACATAATCGAAAATATTTCATGAGGATCTATCCCTCAAAAATCCGCCTAAAATCATCGAATTTCATCCCCGTGAATTATTGGAAATGTGGTGTGCAGATGGTGGCGACGAATTGGCAGACTTATGATTTGGGACAACAGTTGAATGAAGCTTTGTTTGACGGGGTGGATCGGAAGGGGTTTGTCCTCAAGCCTGATTCACTTCGGAAACCATTGATTAGAACCACGACGAGTCGGAGTAAGAAACAGGTGGTGAAGACTTCGCCGATGATGGTTGAGTTTGAGATTGAGATTATTAGTGCTCATCAATTGCCGAAGAAGGATAATAATGATACTAATGAGAGTGGAGGGATAATTAATCCATATGTATGTCTTGAGTTCATTGGTGGGAATTCTATTGAGTGGACAGGTGAAAGTGGTGGTGGAAAGATGAAGGGTAAGACGAATGTTGTGAAGGAGAATGGGTTTAATCCGATTTGGAATCATAAATTCCTGGGGAAAGTTCATGTTGGTGATGATTATGATTTATTGTTTGTTAAGTTTATGATATGTAATGATAATGGAGCACAGGGAGGAAGTGGAAATGGTGGGAATAATGGAGGGACAGATGGTGGTAGCGGAGGAGGAGAGGAAGGTAGTCCGATTGGATTGTTGGTTAGTAAATTGTCATATCTTAATCAAGGATATCGATATCTTCCTATTAATGATTTGTTTGGTGAACAATTAGTTTATTCATCTTTATTCGTTAAGATTAATTATAAGTATTATCATCATTCAGCATAGTTTTGGGTTATCGGTATAAGTCACGTGATTAGAAAAATTATTTTTTTTTTTTTTAATTTTTTTTTTTTTCGAGAATTTTTTAAGAGATGAGATTAAAATTTATTTTTGATCTTTCATTAACTTTATAGTAGATATATCTGATATATATACATATAGACTAATAGTAACAATATGGGTAAAATATCAACTAGTGAACTCAAAGGAAAACAACGTCATAATCCTTTATTAAAAGATATTTCATCCCAAGGAGGTAATTTAAGAACAACTCCAAGATCATCATCCTCATCCAAATCAACCACCAATAAGCTTACTAAACAACAAGAAGAAGAAGGATATTTAGATGCTACTACTTCTAGAAAGATCTTACAATTAGCCAAGGAACAACAAGATGAACTAGAAGAGGAAGAAGCAGCCGGACAACCACAACAAGTTTCATTCTTCGATAGACAACAACAACAGAAAGATAGTGACGAAGAAGAAGAACTGGAAGAGGAAGAATATTCAGATTTCCAAGTGGAAGAAATCTATGAAGAAGAAGAAATCGAAGTTGATGAAAAAGATGCCGAATTATTCAACAAATATTTCCAATCCAACGGTCCACAAGGTAGTGGTGACTCCCAAACCATAAACCTTGCTGATAAGATCATGGCCAAAATCCAAGAAAAACAAGATCAAGATCATCAACTCCAACAACAACAAGAAGGACTCGCCAAACCAGTCGATGCAGTCCTCTTGCCACCAAAAGTCATCATGGCCTATGAAAAGATTGGAAAAATCTTATCTACTTATACTCATGGGAAATTACCTAAATTATTCAAAATCTTACCAAGTTTAAAGAATTGGGAAGATGTATTATATGTCACCAATCCAGAACAATGGACTCCTCATGCAACATATGAAGCCACCAAATTGTTTGTATCCAATTTATCTGCCAATCAAGCTCAAAAATTCGTTGAGAATGTCTTGCTAGAAAAATTCAGAACTTCAATTGAAGATTCAGAAGATCATAGTTTGAATTATCATATTTATAGAGCATTAAAGAAATCCTTATATAAACCAGCTGCATTCTTCAAAGGGTTTTTATTACCTTTAGTAGATGGATATTGTACCGTTCGTGAAGCTACCATTGCCGCATCTGTATTGGCAAAAGTTTCCGTTCCTGTCTTGCATTCCTCCGTGGCTTTAACTCAATTATTACAACGTGATTTCAGTCCCGCTACTACCGTATTCATCCGTGTCTTGATTGAGAAGAAATATGCATTGCCATATCAAACCTTGGATGAATTGGTGTTTTATTTTATGAGATTCAGAAATGCCGAACAAATGGAGATTGATGCGAAGGAAGCACCTCAATTACCCGTTGTTTGGCATAAGGCGTTCTTGGCTTTCGCTCAAAGGTATAAGAATGATATTACTAATGATCAACGAGATTTCTTGTTGGAAACTGTGAGACAAAGGTTCCATCATGCTATTGGACCGGAAATTAGGAGAGAATTATTGGCTGGGAAACCAAGATTGACTGATGGGAATGGCGAGAATAATAATAAAGATGGAATAATGATAGATGCGTTTTAGAAGTGTCTAGGTTATGTGTATATTAGAATAATAAAATAATGTGTTTTCACTTAAAATGTTCATATAATTAGCTGTCTCTTCCGAAAATGGGTATAATTAAATGTAAATATGAAATGCAATCAAATTCTATATGGATATCTCAAATTATAAAATGTATGTAATTAGCAAAATAAATGCAACTGACCCTTTCCAAATATGGGTATAAAATGAAATATAAAAAAACAATGTAATTAAAATGTAAATGAAAATGCAATCAATCTAGTTGATTACAAATGACCGTGAACTTATCTTTTAGCATGTGCTTCTACCTCACGGGTTAGACATGCTCCACTGAAGTTCTCTTTCTAGCATCCTCGCAAAGCTTGTCAAAATCAGCAAAAAGGGCATAATAACTCTGTACCCCACCAATAATAGTCAACGCCACACAACTACCAATCCATAATCCATGCAAACTTCCACTCCAAGGAGAATAAAAACTCAAATATACACTCAATGGTAATCCGACCACATAATAACTAAACAAATTCACAATTCCACCAATCTTAGTCTGCCCTTGTCCTCGCAAACATCCTGCTGAATTGGCATTCATGGCGTCCAGAATTTGCATAAGGGCGATTAACCACATAACTCCCGATACAGTCCTAATAACATCCTCATCATTAGTGAACGCTTTTGCGATTGGACGTTGGAATACATATAATAACAAGAAATTAATCGTCGAAATCACAAGTCCAAAACATAATGAAACCTTAACGGTTGTCCTGGCAGCCGATCCCAAACCGGCACCCAAATAATTGGCAATTCTAGTACTTGAAGCAATCCCAATCGCAAATGGAATCTGATATGTCAATGCCGCCATAGTAGTACCTATAGATTGGGCCGCAAGTGCAATCGTACCCAAATATGATGATAACAAAGTCATGATTTCAAACGCCAAGAATTCAGCTTCAAGCATAATAAGTCCCGGAATGGCCAATTGGGCGAGTTTTCCCCAACCCTTGAATGCCTCACGGATGTTGAGACCTCCCCAGCATTTGAGGGGGTGTAATCCGGTTGGAGTGTCTTCTGGTTTGATATAGAAGAGGATGCATAACATGAGCCCAATGATCATGAACCAATAGTTTATGGCCACGGCGATGGGTGCACCGAGATATCCGATGTGTTTGACTAATAGATAGTTCATGAGTAAGTTGGATGGCGCGGCGAATAATAAGACATAGGTTGAGATGTGATAGATACCTTGGGCTTGAAGGAAACGTTTCCCACATTCGAAAAGGACATATGCTGGTATACCGGCTGAAACGATTTGTAAATAGACTGCGGAAAGTTTTGCCGTTTCCTTGTCGGGTAAGATTAGGGTTATTAAATCATATGCAAAGAATAACCAAACGAATAAAATTGGTAACATGACTGTAAATAATAATGCACAACATTTTTGTAAATAGGTTCCAACAAGTGTATATTTCTTTGCACCAAATGCTTGTGGACATAATGTATCCAATGCGGTGGCTATACCTTGAATAGTAGCATATCCTGTTATATTTGCTGTCATGGCACCCATAGAAACGGCAGCTAATTCAGTTGCACCTAAATGACCAACCATGAAAACTGAAACGGTAGATAAGGAATTTTGTAATAAAAAAGTCAACACTAATGGGACTGAAGACCTAACCAATGATTTAAGTTCAATTATTGGAGTAGTACCTGTGATTTTATGTTTTGATACCGCATCTTCAAATGCTTCAATTACTTGATCATCACCACCGACATAACTAATATGATTTTCGTTTAATAATTCACGTTCTTGGTCAATTAATTCTTGGGCAACACTCAGCTTTCTACGTAAATGCAAAGCCATAGTACTGGGGACGTGTAATAGTGGTTCGGTCTCATCTGAGGATGGGATATAATCTTCAACTGCTTGTTCATCTGTTGTTGGTGGAAAGTGATGGTAGTGTTGTCTATCTGATGGTAATGATGATGGAAAGAAATCGGATGGGATGAATAATCCTTGTTTACCAAAATCAGATCCATAGACTACAGATGCTCTTCTTTGGTTATTTGAATGAGTGAACTGATGTGTTCTCTCTGGTATTGATGACATATTGTTTCAACTTCGGAATAATCTGGAATAATTATGACTCAAGAGAAATGAAATGGATAAATTATTTTTCCTTTTTTCCAAAACCCATCGATCGTTCTTTTCTTTTATGGATTATTTTCGCGTATAATGAAATTAATTTTAAATTGAAAAATAAAAAATTGATTTTTCCGCCACACTATTTTGGAAACCGGGAATAGTTTCCTAAAAGGGTAAGGGCGCTACTGACTACTCTACCACGGATTAATTAAAACACTTTACTGAACTCTTTTACTTTACTATACACGAATGATAACTACTATTATACAAGAAGTCTAACCTTTTTCTTTCTATACTCTTACAACTACACTCACAATGACTTCACTTATCTCACATTAAACAATAAAATTACACTTTAAACTAAACCAACAACTTTATTATTGAAGCTGCTGTTGTTGTTGTTGTTGATCACTTATATTTGACAAAAGTTGCGATAAGCATCTCTTTGTGGCCAAATCATCTTGTAAGATCATTGCAAATGTTCCGTCTCGTAATGGCTCAGGTAAAATATTAGCCAATGCCTTTCTTGCTTCTAAATTATCCGATAATCTCATATAGCATCTCACAACATGTTTCAATAACCTACCTGAACTATTAGAAGGTTGCTGTGGTGTCTGTTGTTGTGGTGGTTGACCTGGTTGTTGTTGTTGTTGCTGTTGGGGATTTTGTTGGGATGCTGATATACTCAACTGGTCAATCATTTTCGATAATACCGAAGCAACAGTGTGAAATCTTTCAAAAGTAGTACAAACATATGATAACCCTTGATCATCCAATAGTATCTTCTGTAAAATAAAGATTGCCACTGTTTTGGACAATTCAGAAGAAATCTCCATAATATTCAAACATAATGGAACAATTTCAGTTGTTAATAAGAAATTTATAACTTCTGGAGTATCATTCTTAACTAATGCTCCAATAACACCCAAACTTGTTAATCTCAAATATTCAAAAGATCTTTGTCTAGCATTAGTACTTAAAAATGGATATAAATACAATGGTAAATTAGCATTCAAGAATAATCCTCGAGTTTGAACATTTGATGCAACACATTGTAATAATGCTAAAGCATTACATACTCGATTACTTGCAGATGCACTCAAATTAGGAGGATTTAAACATGGATACACTGAAATAATCTCTTCTAATAAAACAGTCATAACTCCAAATGAATTCCATAACACTAAAGCTAAATCATCATATTGTTCTCTTTTCTTACCTAATTCAAGTAATGCTCGTTCTCTATTTGTACCCGTAACTAATTCAGATATCCATTGATATATTTGTTCGTCGTTTAATGCACGATTACCTCCACCTGTGGAAGTAGCAATATTTGGTCCAAGATTACTACTCATACCACCTGGTGGTGGTTGTAATCCCGTGGATAACAAATTAGGATCATTTCTTGGGGTGCCTCCACCACCTCCACCTCCAGTGAATCCTGCTGGTTGTTGTTGTTGCAGTTGCTGTGGTGGCACTCCTCCTATATTCTGAATTGGAGCTGTTCCCGTACTGTACATATTACGTTGTTAATCTATCTATGTATCTATGTATATATGTCTATTGTAATGTATTGAACTTCCTTGGTGTATTTTTGAATGAACAGAAAATGAAGGAAGGCGAAAACGTAGAACTAAAAAAAAAAAAAACAGAAAAGTCTGATTATATGCAGGAATATGATTTTTCACTTATAAATTTAATCGACCCTTTTATGGATACATATCCCCAAATAGAATTGAATTGAATGAGAATGCTCGATCAAAGGTCATCAATGTATTAAGTGATATCAAATTCAGAGAAGTAGAATAATTAAATAAAATAACACATCTGTCTAACTAAATAAAATATTCATTCTGCCCGGGGCCGAACCAATTGTAAGCGCTACCATGTCTGACTGGATGCACCATCTGTTATGAAAGCTGACATCTGTTCCACCTGAAGGAATTAAATATACACCGACTCATTAGTACAATGATGTTCGAATGTCTGGTCCTCTGTTTCAACAAAGGCTTCAACACCTCCAGTGAGCACAATTCGCTTTTTAGCTCCACGTCTCCTCGTGGTCTTGTTCCTGTTAGAAGATACGTTGCTGTTCCGGGAGGTAGTGATAAGCTCATTGAATTGAGATTTATCTTTATTTTTGCTTACTAATAGACATGTGCAAATACATAAAATGCTGATCTTTCAAAACCACCACCACCTAGATAAGAAGCCCTCCATTGGGGTTCATAACACTACGATCATTCGTATCCACAAATCTTGCTAGTAAAATTTGAAACAGAATCTAACATGCCATCATTCCTCGCGCAATCCGATGCAGCATTGTCTTTAACTTCAACCTTCTTAACTAATGCTCAGATATCAACCTACTGAAATATCGATTGAAAGGATTCCAGAAACATTCTCAGAGTATGGATTAAAATGTCGAGTTCTAATTCATAATTATGCACAATCCTTACATACGTGAAGGTCTGAAATCAGCACATATTGCTTGAAGATGTGATCCTGTTTATACCAAGGGTTGCTATTATCGTTCAATACTCCCTTTATATAATCTCAAACACACATAAGCTACAATATTATGTGGATATAAAACAAGACAAATCCAGTTGGTGAACGAGATGGTAAAGATGTAATTGTGCACCATGTTAATTAATTGCGATTTTACTTCCGAAATATCTCAAATATACATATACTCTTAACTATGTAAAGGGTCAAGGTTTGAAATACCTGATTTTTGAGCAGCAATGTACCTGACTTAAATAAAGTATAATAATTAATTAACCAATATTTCTTTGGTGTATATTTCTAAAAAGCGCAATAAATAAAAATGGTCTCAACTTTTTATTTTTTAATCTTATTAAAAAAATATAATATTTTTTAATGCTAGATCTAAAATGTTTTTGCAACAATTTTGTTCCAAAAAAACAATATAGTTGTTTGGACTTACTTGCGATTCCAAGATGTTTACTTGATCATAATGTTAACCACATCTTATAAATGATGATGTGATCAAGTGAACTTAGATGTGAATTGAAAACTAGATTTGAAATGATTTATTTTATGAGGTTTTTGATAGTATTTTTTGATTATATTTTTTTGGCTAATTATTTTAATATTTTAATTTATTGCTACACCTGTTGTTGATATGAATGTCCATTTATATTTATAATTGGACTATAAGCAATAAGTGTACATGAAGATGATGCACACCAAGTGCTTTTAAACTTTGGACTCTTAACCTGAAGAAATGCGAGTTTTATAAGAAATTCCAAATTTAAACCACTGCAGTTAAAGAACAATCACTATACTGACTGTAATCCAGATTACTGCTGTCGCTTTACTGAACTAATAGAAAAAAAAGTTCCCCACCCCCCCTTTCCTCAATCAATTTTAGAGTAAATAATTAACATAAGTTATTTTTCTACTTTATAAAAAGGACCTTACCGTTCCTTCTAACTCACACCCAAAAGTATTCGTCGAAAAGAAGAGAATAGGGGTAATCTAACTTCATGCAATCCTTTTGGACTGTAATTAATAGTTATTTTTTTTAACATAAGTTTTTTTTTTTTTTCCTTATAACATTAAGGATATATAAACCCGTAAGAATGAATGATTTGTTTCTTTTAATTACATAAATAATATGATTAAACAATACAACTTGTTGTATTGTTTTTGTTTTTTCATTGTTTGATTGTTTAAGTGCATAAAATATTCAGTTAATAAAGAACCAATCATTTCCCCCGAATTGATTGATTTCAAAATCAGAAAATATTCATTTTTCATTCTTGATTCTAGAAGACACCTCTTAGTCTTCTAGCTGAATGACCTGTTTTAACTGAGAAAAGACGATTATGTCTATTATGTACGGATTATTCATATGGTAGGTTGTAATTAGAAATATAATACAGCCAAAACCGCTATTAACGAAATCGACCATTTGGCCATTGAGGTCGGTATCATCCCTCTACATGACCCGAGAACTACTCCAATACTAACAGGTTAACAACAATGTCTGATTACATTTTTACATGTGAGAACAAAACAGTTTTTTTAACAAAGTTTCGTTTCGATTTTGACATTAGGGGGCGTTTCTGTATACTACGCCCCTTTAGTAAAAAATAATAAATTTTGGTTGTGAAAGTGAAAGTGAAAGTATTATAGGTTGCAAAAAAGAAAAAGGAAAACAGAAAATTGAAGATGAAAAATTATTCTCTTACAGGATAATGGATCATTTAGTTTAGTCAATTGAGGTAGGATAGAATGGGTCAATTAATATGAAAAGAACTGATACTTTAGCAAAATAAGAATATAATTGTTCATTTTGTCTTCGGGGCCCTAGCTGCGAAACAGAATTGAAGTTTTTAAAATGTAATTTGCACGTTTCGTTCTAGACAATAGTTGACTTGGATCAATTCATGAAATCAGTATAATAGCAAGCTTATAGTATTCCCCATTATGTCACTTTCAAATAATCCACGAAAAGTCATTTATAATTTCTTAAGTAGAAAATATCAGATCTATTCATTTTATGCAAAAACAATTGTTAAATAACCTCCGGATTTGGGAGAACGTAATTCCTTACTCTTCACCTTTCTTATCAATTATTAAGGCTTTACCCCTTCGATATAAATGAATTACAAAGTTTCAATTGAACCATAACATCCTAAATTCAAATGAAATCCATAACAAGAAAAAAAATATTCATTTTCCATTTTCATTAGCCACTATTTCCAACGGTTTTCTGAATTTATTAAAATAATATTCAACCAAAAAAAAAAAAAAAATAAGAATAAATAATATTCATTTATGGAGGATTATGGGGGGAAGGGTCATTCCATATTCTCTTAGATGGAATAGGATACCCAATGTAATGGCAGAGATCGTCTTTCAAGGGGTGAACTCCCAATAATAATTCACCCAGTTTTAAGATACAATAGTATAAAAATTGACCAAAATTCCGATTGTAAAGAAATTGGTCTATTTTACATCTCTCATTAAACACCGCAATATGATTATCCAAGTTATCTACTACTATTTTCTATTGTCATCCTTAGTTTTTGGGTTGGACATTGAGACCGAAGTGATTCAAAGGGGTGGAAATTTTGAGGTACGGTCAGTTAATATACACTCCTGTGGCGTTTTGTCTCTTATTGACGTCAATATCTTTGACATCCAATACTTTGTTAACTCAGCAGAATTCTATTTCCATACTACAATTCCCACTCATCAATTTTCCTTCGCCAGCGGTGAGGTTGTAAATACTGGGCAGTTTAGAATTAATACCTATAGATCATTGACGCACAGTTATTTTTATTTTGGAGCTATTACTAATGAAAACATTTTCACTATATGGATAGCGGATAACTCTTATAGCGATGTTAGCCTAGGTAATTTATACAATTATGGGTCGTTTAGCGAAATAGTAGAGGGGCAAATTGGATCTCTCGATCTAACAGGGGAATTGTTCAATGATGGTGTTATTTGTCTCACCCATGTAGATTTTAACATTAATTACACCAATGCTAATGCTAGTGGTTGCATCGTACTTCATGATTCTCTGGTTTGGTTCCAGCAGGATCCTCTGGGATCCACAATTTGCTTTGCAAATGTCAACTCCAGAATTAGGTTAGAACAACCCCCATGTGTCCCAATTGTGATTGCAGGTTTTGGTGGTGGTGAAACTAACACTATAGAGATTAAAAGTTCGAACCCAGAGTGTACACAAATTGAATACGTTAACAACCTGCTCCTATCGATTCTGGCTGATGGGATTATATTTCTTTTTGATATTGGGCCAGGATTCGATGGAAACTGTTTTGCTTATAAGGCGGTAAACGATTCGTTTGTTGCTATTTACTATAATTCTCCCGTACATACCGGAAACACCTGCAAATGTGACTGTAACCAAATAATTCCAGACGATGCTCCCGGTGCTCATCCTGAGGTCATTACAACAACCAATGAAGAAGGAGCCACGGTGGAACTTACAATCACGACTACAGACGGATCTTGGACAACTATCACCTTCACTCCAACTCCACCTCCTCCAACTCCAACCCCAAGTCCATGCCCAACTCCAAGTCAGAGTCTAACTACAACTCCTCCAATTCCTCCAATTCCAACTTCTCCAACTACACCTACAGCTCCAAGCCCAATTCCTCCAATTCCAACTTCTCCGACTACAACTCCAAGCCCAATCCCGCCAATTCCGACTTCTCCAACTTCAACGCCAAGTCCAATTCCTCCAACTACAACTACAACACCAAGTCCAATTCCAACTTCTCCGACTACAACTCCAAGCCCAATTCCACCAATTCCAACTTCTCCAACTACAACGCCAAGTCCAATTCCTCCAACTACAACTACAACTCCAAGTCCAATTCCTCCAACTACAACTACAACTCCAAGTCCAATCCCTCCAATTCCAACTTCTCCAACTACAACACCAAGTCCAATTCCTCCAACTACAACTACAACTCCAAGTCCTATTCCTCCAACTACAACTACAACTCCAAGTCCTATTCCTCCAACTACAACTACACCTACAAGCCCAATCCCTCCAATTCCGACTTCTCCAACTACAACTCCAAGTCCAATTCCTCCAACTACAACAACAACTCCTCCCATTCCACCTCCTGTTGAAACTTCTACAACCACAACTACAACTCCTCCAATTCCACCTCCTGTTGAAACTTCTACAACCACAACCACAACTCCTCCAATTCCACCTCCTGTTGAAACTTCTACAACTACAACTCCAAGTCCAATTCCTCCAACAACTCCTCCTTTTTTTGCACCTCCAACAACAATTACCACTACTATTGATGGCACTTTGACAACTATAACTTTACCAATTGGACAAACTATTACCATCGATCCTCCACCAATTGTTAGAACGATCACTACATCACTCCATGGAACATTAACCACGTTAACATTACCTGTCATTTATGAGGATCAAGTTATCATTACCACAGCCACACTTACTGTTGATGGAACTGTTCTGACAGTCACCAGATTAATTCTTGGAGGAACGACAACTGAGACATTACCCGGAGCTCTTCCTTCTGTTTTAATATACACGGAAGACGGTACAATAATTACAGATACGCTTTTGTTACCACCTGGAGTTCCCCAACCAAGCACTACGATGGTTACTGTAACCATTTCTCACCTAGAAGCGATCGAAAATGAGACTGTTCCCCTTTTCCCAGTGACTACTGGTTTGCTTCCGGAAGGAACTACTATTACTATTCCAGCGGCTGGACCTACTGCTGTTCCTACGCTAGAATTGCGTCAGGTTGTGACACCGGCTGAAGCGGGAGCGACTAGCACATATGCTGTTTCGGCCTTAAGGGCCATGATTGTTTTATTTGTTTGCGTATTAAGTCTTTAAATAACTCTGTAGTTATTTTACAAAAATTGTGTGTATTTGATTGTATTTTTTATGTATGGAATATATGTTTATATTTGTTCACAGCAAACACAAACTCTCCCAGGGACAAGTACATGAATAGTCGTATGTCTAATCTACCCACTTATTCAAACTTCACAAAACTATTTAGAAAAGAATCCCAAGCAAACGAGTATACTCTTAAAAGAATTCAGACTCTGGAATCTCTTCCGATCTTAATTTCGATATAGATAACAAAAGAGATTCGTGAGATTTGTAGTACATAACCTATTCTTTCGTTCACAAACCAACAGGAGCCTAAGCCATATGCTTTCTGTTTTTCAAAGTTGACGATATACCAGGTTTTAAGGTAATCCTGTTATGAGAGGTATTCATCTCAATTTGTGTTGAGGAAGCTTACGACATTTTTTTTTGCAACCAAAAAATTGCTTACACCAACATTTTCCACAATAAATTTGCCACAATCTACATGCATAGATTTATTTATTATTTATGCAAGAAGCGGAGTTAATGTATGGCATATGTATGACAATATGTACTATCGGATCGACTCTGTTTTGATAATCTTGGATTTGTGGCATGGGATCGAAATAGCTATTCTTTCGATGGGTTTACATGGAAGGTAGTCAACCCCGAGTTCATCTCGGTAATTCTCGGGCATATTCAAACATCGAAGTTCAACGAGGTGTACACTCAATTGTCATTGTCCTTTTCCTGCTATGTGGCAGCAGAAAGTAATGATATTGAACCGTACTGATAACTACAATCTCTCTACACGATAGTATCACACAACTTAATAATTTATTAATTTACTATATAAAAACATTTTATTTATAATAATACACACAAAAAAACAAAACTATTCTTCATCCAACTCATCATATTTATCATTTCTATCTTCAGCTTTATCTTCATCTTCTATCTTTATCCCACCACTAACTGAAAATTGACCACCAGCACCAATCAATTGGATATCTTGATATTTAGTAGCAGTATTTACAATTCTAGTAGGTTTTTCCACATCTTCATCCAATGGACCCAATCCTGGGGCATAAGTATCAGCAAATCCCCATGCATATACCATTCCATCATCAGTGACTGCGAATGAATGATGAGAGCCGGCTCCGATGGTTTTGATCTTAGGTTGAGGGTCTTTGGCAGTAAATGATAATTTTGTTGGGATGGGTACAGACCGAGAATTACCATGGGAATCTTTGAATGTAGTTTCTGGTAATTTACTTTTAGGAATTCCGACTTCTTTCATATCATATCTTCCAAAAGCATATACGTCACCATTGTTGGTTAATGCAAGAGTATGATGTTCACCGGCGACGATTTCTTTAATACCTCCTTCGATATTAGATAAATCGGGGATGATTGTTGGTTTCATGATGATGGAACCATCTTCCAATTGTCCATTTTCGTCAGTTAATCCACATTGACCAAATTGATTCAATCCCCAACAATATACTTGATCATTATGATCGATGGCAAAACTATGGAAATCTCCACTGGCGATATATTTAATATCATAAAGTCCAAATTGTTGGGGTTCTAAAGTACGATAACGATGTCTTTCTAAAATACGTCTACCCAATTGGAATTGTTGTCCATTTCCCCAAGCATACACGATCCCTTTGGAATCAAGGGCTAATAAATGATCTTTCCCGGCGGCTAATTGAACTATATTCTTCAATTCATTAATTTTGAGTGGGGTACGTTGAAGTTTGATTTCATTTCTTAAAAATCCTAATAATCCTTCATTACAACGGAAACATCCCCAGGCATATACATCCCCATTATCGTACAATACAGCACTTAAATTATCAGTTGCAGCCAATTGAACGATTTTCCCCTTATTGGTAGGCAAGCCCTCCACTAATCCCGGAGTACTTTCTGCCTCATTCAAATCCCCATCCTCATCATCACTGTCTTGATTATCCATATCCTTCAAAACTTCCTTCACTTTCGAAGTATCCCTCCCCAAAACCCCACTATCATTCCCACCCCAAGACCAAACCCGGCCTTCCAGATCAAGCGCAAGGACATGCATTCCACCCACGGCAAAATCAACAATTCCAGCCGCTCCATCTAATTTATCAGCGGTTAAGAAGGGGTTCAATCGCGGTCTTTTGACTTCTTTGGTCTTTGCCAGGGGTCCGAGGCCCAATTCACACATTGAACCTGTTCCCCAGACGAAGATGTTTAATGGGGTTGATTTGGCGGTGGGGAAGGCGTTGATGGATGGGAGTTTGGAATAGGAGTGGAGGATTATGGATGCGATGGAGGTGGTTTTGAGTTTTTTGGTGGGGGTGGATGGGGTGGATTCTGTTTTTCTTTTTAATGAGACCATGTTGTGTGTGTTTGTAGTTGTTAATTGAGTGTTATCAGTCGTGTTGTGGTTTCAATTGGACTGTTGGTAATAAAAATAAGTGATGAATGTGAAGAGGGACGAAGGGAGTGAAAAAAAAATTGTATTGTCTCACAGAGAGAGGAACGGAGATGGGAATGAAATTCCAAATTGGGATTTTTTATAAACAATAATTTAATTTACACGACAAAACCAACTACTTAGCACAACTTGACTCTACATTCAAAGAGTTATATTCAATTCGAAATGACAATGTGATTTGCTATTACATTTATTACTATACAGAGACAAATATTAACTACAAACTAGCAAGCCTTGCTCATTGAAAGAGCACTATAATCCACCCACCTGATTGCACAAGCCCCGGGGCCATGGTCCTAATTCAATTCTTCCTCGTCATTTTCCATTTCTCTCTCCATCTCTGCATCTCTCTCTCTAAACCTAATCAGTCTTCGCCTTCAACCCTCTAATCCTCCTCATAGAATCCACCATAATCCAAAATGGAATTAACAAATATGGAGCATAAATCGCCCCCAAATTCCCAATCTCCCCATAACTCAACCCATATCCTGGCCCCTCGAGAATAATCCATCCAATACATACAAAAGTCGTAAACGCAGCATTGAATCCATATATAACCGCCCACAAAAAATAATCTACCCCTAAGGTTCCCATTAATAAACATTTCGTGAAGTAGAAGAATAATGGGAGTTGAAATATGAGTTCGACTATGCCGAAGAGTTTAAACCAGCTGGGGGAATGGATTAGGAGGATGTCGTTGTTGGTTGAGATATGGAATGATAATAATTTGGTGGTGATTTGGAGGTGATATTGTGGGGGGATGATGATGGTGGAGTCGAGGAGGATTGTGATTGGGATGTGGAGGAGGAAGTAGAGTAAGAAGATCTTGTCTTGGAGTTTCATTGGAACTGTCTGATACTGGTGCTGACTATTGGTTGTTTGCTTAGCAGTCGCTTAGTGACCCTGGGAAATTATAAAATAAAACGCGCGAAGATTTTTTTATTAGCGGCAGCGATGATGGATTGAATAATTGATGATAAAAACACTCATTAGACCGAGTATAATAAGAACAAACAGAACACTCCTATCCCCCAGATCAATACTCGCCACAAGTATCATCTCCACCGATTCATTAATCAGACATCATTCAACAACAACAACAACTATTATCACCACACTCAAACCTGCAATTCAAACAATCACCAAATATATCTCATCCCTCATGTCCCCCACTTCCTATCCCAAAAACCCGCTCGTCTGGATCGACTGCGAAATGACGGGTCTCGACGTCTTAGGCACCGACAACATCATCGAAATCGCCTGTTTCATAACCGACGGAGATCTAAATATCATCGACCCCCAAGGATACGAATCCACAATCTACTATCCCGAACAACGCCTCTCCCAAATGAATGAATGGTGTATATCAACCCATGCTGCATCCGGATTGACACAACGGATTTTGGACCATCCTGAACAGACTTTGGAAAAAGTACAAGGGGAATTATTGGAATATATCAAGAAATATATCCCCAAGAAGAATGTCGGTATCATGGCGGGGAATTCAATACATATGGATAAATTTTTCATGATGAAGGAATTTCCACGAGTGATTGAGCATCTACATTATCGATTGGTGGATGTGAGTTCGATTTCGGAGGTTGGAAAACGACATTCACCAAGATTGATGAAGTTGATGCCGTCGAAGAAACAATTACATACTGCGAAATCGGATATTTTGGAGAGTATTGAGCAGTTGAAGTGGTTTAGGGAACATTATTTGAAAGGTGGTGCTGACGAGGTTCCGATGGATGCTGCGAGGGAGAAGAGAAGAGAGAGACATGAAATGAAGAAGGAGGAGAATAGACGAGAGGTTATTGAGGAGATGAGGAGTTTGCTTGGAAAGATTGAAGAAGCAGATGGGAAGAAGGAGGATGTGAAATTGTATGTTGAGCAATGTAATGATTTGTTGATTGCATTAGATGAAAGTAATAAGAAACAAAAGATTCAATAGAATAGCTTGTATTATATATAACAATTAGGATATGATATTCATACTAATAGACCATCAGAGGAATATAGACAATCTACAAATATAAAATGACTGTACTTCATTCTAGTTGTCATGACTCATCTAGCTTAATGAGTGACTTTAAGAAACGTTTACACTAAACTCGGCCGATTGTTTTAAGAAGACCTTCGCACTTTTTTCTATAAATATAATAATTTCGCAGCCAATTCATGAGCCTAGACCTTAAACCATTCCCTTCTCAATTCAAACCAGACTCAATTACTTCTACACTCTAGATGGACAGCTCTAGATCCATACGGTCAATTCGGGGGGATCTACCTTTCTACTTCTAGAAGGAAGAAGAGATATTTTATAGATCACTTCCTAAAAGCGAAGAGGGGAATGGAAACTTCGCAATAATTTTTGATCTGAAGATAATATTTCTCGGACCTTGAGCGGCTGCAATGGAATCATCCCTAGAAGAATACAACGGGGGGAAGGAGAACGTTTGGTTGATGTTGTAGAAAGATGACTTGGAGATGTATTTTTAGAAAAAGGTGGGGAATGGGCCGTTGCTAATTAGATCAATGTCAATTATAGTATTACGTCTATTGTTCTTTTTTGTTGGTTGAAACAGTACGTTTGCCAACATTTGTAGATTGGATAGTGCTGCCTACAACCGTACACTCAGTATCATGTATATGTGATTGATTAAACTACCCATGTGTATCCAATCCCAATCCAGAAAGTGAACCCCTAACGACTACTAACCTACTACAATTGGAGGCTCGTTATTTGTCAACCAATTGAGATAGGTAGTTGATCCTTACGAAGATAGAAAATTGATTCTGGCTCTTTCCCCTATATTTACAGTAAACTATAGTAAACAACAATCAGCCACGGCATTTTCTGTCGATAAGCATATTTGATCCACCCCTCTCGTCTAAATATCCATCGTTCCATACATCATATGAAAGCTTCTATTTCAGAAACAATCGGCTGGGATTGCTTCCCAACTGTAGGTTGCCGCTGGAATTTTTCACTAAACCTTGGGGTGGGGTGGCTGATAACAATATGGCTATGTTATCTAATCTATTTTCACTTACTGATTGATCAAAAATAATAAATTTATATGAATTGCTTTTTGATAGACAGACTAAAATAAACAATACTGTGATTATGTAAGCGTATACTTTCTAGAAAATCTGGAAATAATAGAATAGCATAGGTTCATTGTTTTACTTGTTAGCTGGCAGTCTGATTTTCTTCGCTTGTAATTGATAATTATAATTATGAGTAATTTCTAATTATAACTTTTTATAGGCAAAGCAATCACTTGATAATTATACTTATACGGTAATTATAATTTATAAACCGCCTATCACTTGGCCCAATTTATGTCCAACTAACCACCTAAGTATAATCCATTGTCTCATTGGGGTGTACTACCTTGTAGGTTACTCCAACAATAATAATGATCATACCATTTGTAAACTTCCTAACAACTATTATGGGCTTAATAATAAAATGGTAATTAATGATTACATAATCGGAAGACAGGACTGGTAACGGCTTTATTACGGAAATAACATCCTAAAAGAGTAAGTCTCCGAATACTGATGACTTAAAAACGTGCTTAGTATGAATTACGGGTTTACTAATCATCATTATTTAATTTATCGGATTAATAATTAAAAAATAATTTGGGTGTCGGGCGTTACGCTTAGGTGGTTTTAGGGTTAAAAATAAAATCCGGTTTCCGAAATAAACTATGGATGGCGGAGTTTATATGTTATACCCGAAAGACCAGTTCCAATATAAATATAAGTGATGCTTTCCCGCCGTATGTCCCCAGATTATTTCTATTTCTCTTATTGTATAATATCTAATAAGTAACAAGCAAATCTTAATTACAATGATTAATACAAGTAACAACAGTAGTAGTACTACAATGGTTGGTAGTAGTAGTAACTCATCATACAAATTACAATATGATAGTATATTACAACAATATTATTATGTTAATTTAAATGATAATACAATAACATTTGATTCACCATGTGAAGTAAACCATACGATACAACATAAGAAACATTCAATAATACCAAAGTTACTCAGAAGAAAATTATCATCACCATCTTTATGTAATTACACTACCACTACAACAGAACAACATCCGCCTTCATTATATCGTAGAATAAGTAATGCATTATCAATTAAATCAAATAAGTCAACATCACAAGAATTAATAACAACAACAACTAAAAGTATACAACAATCAGAAGAACAAGAGTCACGTGTTATTGAGGGTATTGATGATGAATATCTTATTAATAATGTAACTAATTATAAGAATTTCTCCGGTACTTCATATGATTATAATAGTGAATCAGAAGGAGAACTTGAATCAGTTGATAGTGAAGAAGAACTTAATGAAATTATACCTTATTATTATCAATCTCAATATGTATTAGAACATCAACAAGGTGATACCAGTGTATATGATAATTATGATAAAGAATTAGAAAGAAGAGAATTACGCTTACAAATGTTAAAAGAATTATATTAACCCTTTAGTTAGATAGTTATGTAAATAGAGTTTTAAATGGGACAAATTATAGAGTATATTACTTACACTTGTAAATGAGTCTCTAAGGAATAACCGGTTAGTTAACAAGTTAAACGCTTTCTTTAAAGGTAGTAATATATATTTACATGAACAAGGTATATACAAGGAAGGGTCTAATGTCTCTTAATGAAACCATCTTTAGCACTATCTTTTCTTCTTTTAGTAATCTCCAATTTCCTATCAGCCATTTCAGCTGCTTTTAAAGCTTTCTTATTTTGACTTTCACTAAAACTACTAAACCATTCAGCAATACCATTAGGACCCTTTTGAGAAACCTTCAGTAATTCTTCTGATGTCATCTTTGGTGGCATTCCTAACCATTTCCTAACAATCCCAATCCTAAATGCAAGAGCTTGAACTAACGAAAACATCGAATTTGCCGCAAAATACAACAACACGGCCGCTGAAAAAGATTTCGTGAAAACAATCGACAAGATAGGAACAAATGTCATAATCTTCTTCATACTCTGAGCCATAGCATTCTGTCCCGTTTCCCCTCCCAATCTAACCACGGTAATAATAGCACCGGCAGCAATAACCTGCAATCCCAAATATGGATCCACTTGACTCAAATCCTCAAACCAAGCCATACCTTGATCACTAAACCCCTCAACTGGAACATTTGCCATCTTTCTCAAAGCTTGGAAAAACCCATATGCTAACGGTAATTGTAATATTGGAGCCATACTAGCAAACGTACTAATTCCATATTTTTTCATAATCTTCTTCCTCAATTGAACTCCTTTCATCTGTTCAGCAGTATTAGTGGCATTCTTAACCAATTCCATGGCTTTATCGAGCTCGGGTTTATGTTTGGACATCTTGGTGGCATTGGCACTGGCACGGACATAAAGGGGGAAAAGAAGGACTCTTAATGTGAGTGTGGCGGCGATGATTGTGGCCCACCATGGGAGTCCGGTATAGACATGGGTGTATTCTAATAAACGTTCAACTAAGGCTGTTGGGCCATAGCCTTCGGCAAGACCTATTGATTGGAGATAGCCGATTTGGTTGGAGTGGAGGGTAGTGGTGGTGACTAGGGTGTCGACTGCGTCGGGGATGGTGTCGAAGGAGACTAATTTATCTCTGATTTCTTCGGCGAGGGGGGTGGAAGCAACTGGAGCAGCAGCTGCTGCTGCGGTTGAGTTGTTTCTGATTGATGTGATTGATGATGAACAAAGACCAATCCTGGTAGATGGTTGCTGTGTAATAACTCTTGATGTTCTTAAGATCTGAGATCTTATTGAACGTGATAATCCTATTCTTAACATATTTGCTTCGGTCTTATCAAGATGGGGGACTACCTTGTTGGTTCTTCTGTTTAATTTCTTCAATTTGGAAAATGAAAAATTTTTTTTTATTCTCCAACCCCCAAAGCAGTTCTCGCGTATTTAATTTTTTTTTCATTATAAATCAAAGAAGAAAGGAATGGCTTTTACTCAATGGTTTACAAGAGACATACAGAGAAACTCTTTGTATAAAACTATATAGACAAGCATACCAGAGATGTACTCCTTATATACAATTAGTATACGACGAGCAATCCCTCGAATAAGTCGAATACGACTGACTACTAATCAATTATCATCAATTAAACATCGTACCACTTCCCGATACAATACAACAATTGAAAGATATCAACATACAACTACTGCTACGGCTACGGCTACGGCTACTACAGACACAACAACTACATTTGACATTGACGGAACTGCCGAAGCCCCATCTCCCACTCCCAATAAGTCAATTGTAATAGACCGAGAGGAACACATCCAACAATTAAACAAACATTTCCAATTAGTAATATCTGATGAATCACGATTCGATGAAGCAATACATTTAATAGACACATATGAAAACCTACTATCTCCCAAACTCCTTCAAGTATTCATCTATAATCTCCTCCAAACAAACAATCTCGAACTAGTCACAATTCTCCTTCATAAACTAATCCCCAATACAATCCCATGTCTCCCTAATGAATTATGGTCAATTTATATTTCCAAAACTTGTGAAACTCCCAATTATTTATCAGCAATTTACATCTTTCATAACATAATCGACCCATATCCATTCCACATCGAAGATCCTAGTCATTACACCTTGGATAATAACCTTGTCCCCTTCCTCATAACCCCGGACCAAATCCGGGGTCTTGCCTTAGTCTTCTCGATTCATCGTGATTCAATTAGACAAATTGGTCTCATGACTTATTTCAAACGGTTTTATTCCGCCATGCATAATCAAGACCTTTATAGATTCTTAAGTATTCAATTAATCGAAACATATGCATCCAAACCCGAAACCCATCTTCATGCCTTGGATGAATTTAATAAATTGGCATATCGAACTGAGGTTATTGAACAGCGAGGATTAAGATCACGTCATGGTAAATTATTGGGGTTTGTCGGTCATAAAAATGTGGCAACCCGATTGGATAGGACGAAATATAATCTATTCCCGATGGATAATGACCAGATTATTCCGGAAGATAAAAAGACACAATTGGATTTACATCAACAATTGATTGGAAAAATATGTAATTTGGAATTATTCAATCCATTTATGTTTAGAAATGTCTATCATTATCGAGGAGTTCAAAATCCTATCATTAGTCGATTGTATTATGTTGATGAATTACCCAATTTTAATAAATTTATTCAATCACAAGTTGAAAATGTCTTATCTGAAGACAAAAATGTTCTAGAGACTTTGGTGAAAATGTGTTCTGGTTCTCGAGTGTTTATGAATGATATAGGACATGTTTTTATCGTGAGTTCATTGTGTAAATTACATAAACAATTTTTGGCCTTGGGTTTCCTAAAAGCATTAGCAAATACTCAAATAGAGAAATATAATCAGCATGCAATTCGATATCAAAATTTCCAAATCATAATCCATAGTATTCTGGAAGATATGACCCAAGCGGATTTAGGTGGGATGGAATTAAGGGAGTTTTTGAAATTGATGATGGATTTTCATTCTGAAATGCGTGGGGTTCGTCAAGATAAGCCGACTTCACCAGGGTATAGAGTCTTACAGGAATATATCTCGTTGTTGTTGAAATTACCCGATGTGAGGTTGCATGAATTGGTTCCATATTTGGAAATGTTATACCAAAGATCTGATAATTATTTATGTCTATTTGAAGATCAATATAATAAATTAATGGAATTATTAACTCCGGATTATGAGATGTATAAATCAATTGTTCATAAAATATGACGACCCACAACATGTACATAAAATTTAATAACATATTCATGTAAATATATAACTACAATACATAACGCTAATACTACTATTATACAATTTCTCTAATCATCTCTTGGATTTGACATTCTATGAATCTTAACCATCGAATTATTCAAATCCCCAACCACAGCAATATCCTGAGGAGTAATAAAAATCGATTGTGATTTAGGATATTCTTGTAAATGGGCCATTAATAATTTAATACTAATACTTCTATTAATTTGATCCATAAAAACATCAAATTCATCCAATCCTCTAATTCTTGAATCCATAACCTTCCAAATTGACAATAATAATGCAATTTGTGTAAATGATTTCTCCCCTCCCAGTAATGAATCAACTGTTCTCATTTCATCATCTTTTTTGGTTTGAGCTAATAATTTTAGGCATTTATCTTTGAATTCAAATGATAATTTCCCACGATATCCTCTCATCGCTAATGAATCTTCAAATGTTCGAGAAGCGTTATTTACCGCGGCAGTGATTAGGGTTCTTAATACATTGAATCTAATATTTAATTCAACACGAAGTCTATTATAAGTTTCATTCAAATCATCAAGTTCTCCCTTGGCTATTTCCATTTTTGTTTTGGTTTGGGCTAATTGTTTTTGAATCTCTTCGAATGATATTCCAATACTTTCTTCGGCAGCTTGAAGACGCATTTGAATCTCGGCATATTCATTAGCAATGGTGTCTTTAGTATCCTGTTCGGTAATTGTGACTTCTTCTCTCGGACATACATTCTCGGCAACCTCAACTAATTTAGTTAATGTCGTATTGGCAGTTCCTAATTTCTCAGTGGCAGCTTCGAGAACAGCTTGGTATTGAGTACGTTTATTTAACCATTCCTTCTCCCTTGTTTGAATCTGAATTTGTTTATCAAGCTGTAAATCAATTTGTTTCTGAATCTCAGAACAGGCCTTATTGGCTTTTTCTACCGCTTCTTTTAATAATTTATAATTAGGACGTAATCGTTCATGTTCAGCTTTTTTCTTTTGTCCTTCTTCTTTCATCGATTCCATAATCCCTTCATATCTCATAATTTGATTCTCAAGTCCTTCAATCTGAGCCAGTAATTTTTCAATCTTGGTCTTATCAACATTCTCATCTAATTTATTTTGTGCATTTGCAAGTTCTCGATTCAAACGACGAATCTCACCCTCAATCCCTTTATGTTCAATTTCCAATTCCCGACGTTTCCTAGCTTGAATCTCCCTAATCCGACTTATCTCATCTTCAATCTTTCGTTTATTCTCCCTCTCATGATCCAATTTCCCTCTTAACTCAGCAATCAACGCATCCTTACTCTCAACCCCAAACTTATCCAATTCTCCTCTATACGGAACTGGATCTTGTCTGTAGGTCGAACCGGCCATGTTCACTTTTATACCCGAATCAGCCCCAAATGGAGCAAAGATATTCGATACATTAGGACTCCTCAATATCCGTTCACTACCTTGGGTATTCTCCATCAATAAATTCCGTTCAATACTATTACAATCAATCAAAGTATTCAATACTTCTTCATTCTGAATCAATAATGCATCATAAATCGTCTTGAATTCCGCCGGGGCTTTTCCTTGCATGAAATCCAATCGTTCATTTTTCCTGACGATGATGTTATTTCTTGATCGGTAGGATTTGAGAATTTGGGCTAGTTTAGATCGATCTTGTTCATTACTAACCACGAATGAATCTAAGGTTCTACCGAGGAATGAATTCATAAGGGCTTTATATTGTTTGAATTGGGGTTTGACTACCACATGAATCCCGATGGGGCCGATGGGGGTTTTTGCCCATTGGGTTTGGTTGATTCTTTTGATGATATCAGGCATGGATTTTCCAAAGGGGGCATATTTGTCCGACCCACCTTGAGATCTTCTTAAGGAGTTGATTTGTTTATCGTATTCGGAGATTTTGGATTGGGAATCTTGGATTTTTTTGTTTAATTCTTGGATTTCAGGGTCGTATTGATTTCGTAATTCACGGATTTTATCTTGACAGGTCAGTAATTGATTTTCAAGCTCGGGTAACTGGGCGTTGATTTCTTCGACTTTGGTTTGGAGTTCAAGTTTTGATCCACCGTTGATATGATCGATCCGGGCTTGTTCTTTATCGACTTCTGCTTGCTTGCGTTTGATTTCTCTCTGGGTTTCTTTAATGTTGTCGGCTTGTGCCTCGAGTTCTTTCCTACAGTCCGACAGTTCACTGCTTAATTGTTTCATTTTATCCTTCATGGCTTGATGTTCGGAACGAATTTTCAGATATTGTTCTTGGGCTTCGTTTCGACTATTTTCCAAAGTGACTTTTTCTGATTCATTAGATTCTAAATCTTTAGAACAGGTAAGAATTTCTTTTTCACAAGTTTCTAAATTACTTTCAGTTTCTTCAATTCTATTCTTGAATTTCTTAACTTTTCCTTCCATATATTCAACATTAAACCAATTAATCTTTCCAAGTAATTTATGTAACTTTTCTCTTAAACCAGCTTGTGATTCATGTCTATCATATAACTCTTTAGCTTCTTTAAATTCTGCAGTACGAGCTTTAACATGTTCCTTAGCTGGTGAAATTTTCTTTTCAATTTGTTGAATATTTTCAGTAGTTTCAGAATAATTAGAAAGAATTTGATTAATATTAGCCCCATCCATAAAATATTGATATTTATCTTTATCAGTACTTGAAGTTAAAAATTCTCTTGCTCTATCTTGTGATAAAAAAACCAACGGATTATCAATTGCAATACCAAATTTAGTTAAAATCTCAGCCACAGTTGATTTCTTACTACATACTTTCTTCTTAGATTCATTTCTAATCAGATATGGATGTGCACCATGACGATTCAATATACGTTCAATAATGATTCTTTTCCCATATATATGGGGTTTAAATGCAGCTCTACCTTCATTCTTAAACACAATGGTAATCTTAGCTCTATTGGTCCCATCTTTAATCAAGTCCTTCATAGAATTACCTCTATTGGTTTCATGGGCTTTACAACCCAATCCAACAGCAATGCCTGTAAAAATTGCACTTTTACCAGAACCATTACTACCAATTACAAAATTAATTTGATTTCCTAATTCAAGTTCAAATAAAGAATGACACATGAAGTTTTCAAATCGTAATTTTTCAATTATACCAGCTGATTTATTACTTTCATCATCGTCTTCTACTTGTTGTTCAGGAATTGAATCTTCTTGATCAGTGGTGGGGGAACTTTCTTCAATTAAATCTTCGGTAGTTGAATCTGCGTCAGAATCGGAATCGGAGTCGGAATCTGATTCTTCTTCTTCTTCGTCGGAATAGGTTACCTTGCGACGTTTGGTTAATTTCTGAGTCATGAATTCATTTACACCTACTTCTCCCTAATTGTGTGTTTTAGTTAGAAAAAGTTGATACTCTTGATAGATATGAATGAGTGTGTATTTTGTACATACCATTGGATCAAATGTTTCATCTGATTCATCATTATCTCCTCCATCATCTCGTCTTCTCTTATTTGATAGTAGATGATCTTTACTTGTCATATTTGATTTTGTCGACAAGTGGGTTAGCAGTGAAAGAAAGAAGTGATTGGATGGTTTTTGTAATTATTCTCAACTTTTGATTCTCCCTCAAATCACCCAAAAAAAAAAAAAAAAAAAAAAATTGGGAAAAAAAAAAAAAAAAAAAATGAAGAAGACGCGTTTTTTTTTTTAATTAGAATTTTTTTTGTTTTTTCACAGAGTGTCGTATTGGACCCGTGTTGTGTCGCATATCTGGGGGACTTTGCGACACAAAGTGAGAGCACGTGAAATTCCCAATAGGATTCATACACTGTTATAACTACTACTACGACTACTGGTACTATTAATACTTACTTCTAGTTGCAAAAGCTTTTAACACTCTAAGTACCATTAGCTCGACAATCATTGATTGATAGTTTATACCTCTTGTTTCAAGAGAAGTATGGGTTTGGATTAACTCGACTACCAGATATTGATTTGCTTAAGATAAGAAAATTCTTCAATTAATTCTCCAATCTTATAAAAGTGACAGTTTAAGGCTGTAATTTTTTCATTTCTTTACATATGAAATCTCGATTTGTGTGATCTCAACAGTTTATCGAAAGATTGAAAGGCGGTTCTAAATATCAAATCAATTTGTATCGCGGAGCCTTGAAATTATTTTATTTTCTGGGGAAAGAAATTTATTGTGCATAAAAAATATTTTGAATAGAAATTTAAATTATTTTCATTTATCCGATGGCTTTAGTTTAAAGAATCACATCAAATACAAACCCAACCATATTGAAGGATACTGGAATCTTTTCAGAAAATGAATGACTTTGCAATAAAGAGAATCCTACCTTTAATCCACAGCTTGCTTTAAAAGTTTGAGAAAAAAAGGTTGCTACGTACTTGCATCTTTCTTCAACTCAATAATTTGTTGAATGAATGCCCAAGCTGAAAATCATTCAGCTAGTCTTTGTAATAAAATTGGATACGGCATTAGTAACCTCGCCCAACATAAGAAACGAATTTTGAGGTCAGCAAGAGTGACCCCTTTGTTTGTCATATCCTAAAGTATGATTGAATCATCTGATTTGCATTCGTCCAACGTCAAATAATAATTAACGGTTAAATAATATTGACTTAAAAAATATTCAATCTTCCCATATAGTGGTTCCAAGGGCATATATATAAACCGAGAGATGACCCCGCTATTGACAAAATCACCATTCGATGTAACAATTCAAACACCTAAACTCAAAAATGAGATACTCTAGTTTATTAACAACTGCTACGATTATCACTTCCGTGCTTTGTCAACATATCAAACCTCGCGATGAAGAAACCGACGTCAAAACCTCCTCAGGTTCCCAATTTCAACCAAAAGTATTGATCATCTCCATGTTTGGACTCGAAAGAGATCCATGGTTGGAATCAATGGACCTTATTCAAAACATAACCATCCCAGGATTGTCTCCCATGTATCCCACCATTCATTGCACAACCAATGGTACCATTTGTCAAATTACCATTGATGAGGGTGAAATCAACGCCGCTGCTTCGATGACTGCATTGACTCTTTCTCCGTTATTTGATTTATCCAAGACATATTTCCTAATTGCTGGTATTGCTGGTGGTGAACCACAATATACTACTTTAGGAGGGGTAACGTTTGCCAGATTTGCCGTACAAGTTGGTTTAGCATATCAATTCGGGTATGATGATTACATTAAAGAACATCCAGATTGGACTACTGGTTATATACCATTTGGAGTTTCTGACCAAGATTCATATCCTGAAAGTGTATTTGGAACTGAAGTATTTGAAGTCAATGAAAAGTTGAGAGATCGTGCTGTTGAATTGGCGCAAAAAGTCAACTTAAACAAGGGTAATGAACTTAATGCCCAATTCAGACAATTGTATACTGAGGAAGTTGCCCGGGCTGAGCCTGCTATTTACAAATGTGATGTTTCAACTTCTGATAATTACTTTACTGGAAATATCTTAAACGACTACGCGGCAAATTTCACAAAACTAATGACAAATGGTACCGCCACTTATTGTGCTACTGCTTTGGAAGATAATGCAACGTTGGAAGTCTTGACTAGATTAAGTAAGTCAGGTTTGGTTGATTTTGATCGAGTTATGATTATGAGATCAATTGCTAATTTTGCAAGACCTCCTCCATCTATGAGTGCACTTGACTTCTTCTTTAATGGAACCACTGGTGGTATTGAAGCTTCGCTTGATAATTTGGTTATTGCAGGTACTCCGATCATTCATGATATTTTAACAAATTGGGAAACTGATTACAAAAACGGTAACAAGTATGCGTCTAATAATTATATAGGTGATGTCTATGGTACTTTGGGTGGTACCCCAGACTTCGGCTTTGATTCATATATTGAATTTTAAGAAGACAGAGGTATATTAGTTCTTGTTTATATAAATAGACTAATTAAACAAATTTTTATTAAAAAGGATTATAAAAAACTAAAACTCTACATAAATATTTTTAAAAATTGTTAAAATAATACATAGTTACATCTCTCTCTAAGTCTCTATTCTTGAACTGGAAGTAGAGAATCTTTTCTCTGTCAAATCTTTATCAAACAGAGGTTCACGAACCATACTTGATTTGGAATTATCATTAGAATGAGTTTCAACCACATCTTCAAATAAAACACCATAATTGACAATCAATCTTTCCAAAATTGAATTCATAAATCCAAAATTATTAACAAGAATTTCTAAATGACTAGCTTCAGTCAAAGCAGGACCAATAACAGTAGCAAGATTCGAAGCAGTCATTTTATTATTGGCATTAAACTGACTCACCTTGTTCAAATGACCAATCAACAATTTGAAGGTTCTATAGTTGGATTGTGGTAACGACATCAATATATTTATATATTTTTCAATCCAACCAGAAGATTCATCTGATGTTGTTGCTTCATGTCTAATTTCAAAAAATCCATTGATGACCTTATCAGTAAGTAAAGCATCTGGTAATTCTCTAAAATATGTCTTCACTACACTAGTCAAAGCATGAGTGTCATAACTTCTCAAATGAAATTCAAGTGTACCAATTCTATCAATAGTTGATTTTAAATTTGCCAATTCAGTAACAGCACAACTGATTCTATAAATACCAACATCTTTGATTCCATTATTTTCGATTTCTTGAAAGATTCCTTCCAAGAATGATGGATACGCTGTACCATCACGGGCACAAACATGACTAATTGGTACTCCAAATGTAAGTGATCCTCCAACATTCTTGGAATTAAGACTTCTTGAGAAAAACCAATGACGATTGGCATAATTTAATTTAATCAACCAATCATTCAACTCATTGTTGGTGGTACATTGGAAAAAGTAAGATTCACCAGTAACTTCTGAATCAATCTTGAATCCCAAAGGCATTATATAAACTGGGAATATCTTTCTATTCTTTAATGAAATTATCGTATGAGCTTTTTGTTTGACATGATGTTGACGTTCAGGACTAGGTAACAAACTGAAATGAACAACCGCTTCCGGAACATTTGATAATGAAAATGATTTTGCGGTTCTGAATAATCCAGTTATTTTAAATCTTGACGCCGCACTTGTTTTATATGCCAAAGATTGTCTCTTGAGTGAATTTGCTGAAGTTTTCTTGGAGATTGTTTGAAGGAAACTTGAACCATTATTCTCTGCTGTTGGAACTTGTTGACTCATATTTTGTGCTTCTTTGGTATCCTTGATCAGTTTCTTACTATTATCAGCCAATAATATACGACGTTGTTCTCTAATGACCGATACAAACAATTTAGTAGAATCGTCAATATTATATGGAGACATTTCACGAAGAATATATGGAGTATTCAATGCATCATCAAGACTGAAAAGGAAATCAAATTCATGACTATCACTATACGTAAATTCTTCACCTTCAAATTCTTCAACCGTTAATTCCCTCACTAGTTTAAAGATAAGATATCTTTTATTAAAATTCACCATTGATTTGAAAAATGATGGACATTTATTCATTTCAATCAAATTCTCAATTATCCATCCAAAACATGGTAACAAAGGTTCTTGAATTTGCATATCATTTTCATCAAGATTGTTTGGGAACAACAGATAAACATCATCATAGTAAATTGGTTGTGCTGGTGGAGCATCTCCCAATAGAGATCTCGATGCTTTTATCCATAAGTTTGCAAGAGCTCTGCTTGATGGAGAATAAATAACATTAATAATAGCAGTTTCAATAAATGATGGGATATTTCCTTTGTTTTTACCTTCAAATACAAACTGATTATCAGTCATTTTCAAGCGACAAATCTTACCCATTATCAATAAAGTCCTCATACGATCTAATCTTTCTTCAGATGTAAGTCCACTATCACAAATTTGAATTGATAAATAATTCTTGAATTTGAAATATAATTTAAATAATTTTCGGAATATAAGTGGGAATTCATTTAATAATAATAATTTTTGATCAGGAATAACCAAGGATTCAAAATAGGTAAAAATATTTGAAATTATCATATTTGAATCTGGAGTAGTTGCCTTTTGGAAATTATAATCTAAAAGACAATTCTTTTCAAATGAATTTTCCAAAATCTTATGAACCTTAACCCAATCTTCTGCTCTGATTCCCTTATAGAACCCTACTAATAATTTATTAAACTTATGAAGAAATTTTTCAATCTTGTGAATGTTTTTATAACCAGGTAAATTCCTATTCACTGGAACTTCATGAATTGAATTATCAAATTTGAATTTATTAATTAAATATTCTTCAAACTTCAGAATTTCAACTGGACGATATACTTTCTTGACAAAGATCTTCTTTAATTTCTTATAATATGAAACCAAGCTTTCAAAAGTAGGTTCTAAATTAGCATCAATCTTGTTTGAATTATACCAATGTAAGATTTCATTACTAAATAATTTCAACAACTTCATTAAGATTTGCTTATTACCTAAATCAACTGAAAAGTTAGAATATAAATTATTAACCAACACAATCAAAACCTTTAATACATTAATTTGAATCTTCAATAATAATTCATAATCTACTTCTCCCAACTCACTTGGATCAGCAGTATTATCTAAGCTCCAATTTGGAAATTCAAAAGGCAAACGTAACACCTGATCAAAAGCAGTAGCACCAGGAGTGGATTTTTGATTCTTATTAGTACCACCACCATTAGCACTTTCAGCCTTGTGTTTCTTCAAATAACTATTCTTCTTCATGACAGAAATCACCGCATTTCCAGAATTTATAAATCTATGTGCTAATTTGTTTAACAATTCCTTAGTGGTCATAAATGAAGTATAATTCAACAAAAACACAAATCTATATTCAGTTAAATCCATTACAATATCTTCATGGAAATATTTTGCATCAAGCAATAATAAATCAATTAATTTATCCATAGTTGCGAATTTTGGGATAAATTTATATGTTTTTCTTAAATCAAAAGTTCCACTGGTAGAAGTTCTTCCATTCTTATTCCTTTTGGGTGATGAAGGTATACTTGTGAATTGATCAGAATTCAAAAATCCTTCCACGTCAAGTCCAAGTCCACTATGAACAGAAGTATTGGCTTCTTCCCCATCTCCATTTCCAACTCCTTGATGGTTTTCATCATCAAATTCACCAGTGAAGGAAGAATTTGGATTTAAATTCTCAACTTCGGTAACAAAATCATCAATTCTAAAAGTTAATTCATCATCAATTGCAAAATTATGTTTTCCTATTGGATCCAATAACATGGCGTTAGATTTTTCATCTGAAGGTGTTAAATGATCATATTTGAGTATATCCAATTTAAAAAACTTGTTGTTGAATAATGGAATTCTAGAATTTGGATTAAATTCATTCCCATCGACAGAAATACCAGATATTGAACTTCCAGATTCCATTGAGTTTAAAGATGTGTTTGATTGACTCTTGTTTCTCATAAATGTTAATTCTAATGGAGTTTGAGGAACCACAGAAGTACTAGTTGTTGGACTTAAATAACCTTCCGGTAATTCTGGTTCAAAAGCAAGTGATAATTTCATTATTTGTTCCAAATTCATTGATTCACAATTAAGTTCGATTAATTTAAGTAATGCAAATGTGATATGTGCATCTTGATTACTTCTAGGTGGAATTGGGAACTTTGGTCTAGCTGTATTTGGTAATTCTTTGTCGTTTTCATTATTTGCACCTAAATATAACACTTGATTCAAACTTTCATTGGAGAATATGAATCCCATTGCATCATATCGACGTAAAACATCGTCATTATAACTTATAATTTCATCATGGTTTTCTAAATTTGAAATATAATCATTCCAACGTTTAAATGAATATTGAATTCTTTTCCAAACTGAATCTAATTCATAAATATCACTACAATATTTAGTTGCTGAAGTACCTTCCATATTATTAATTACCAGATCACCAAAATATGGCACAATCTTTTCCTTGGCATAAATCTTACCTAATCCTCTTGGGGCCATAATATGATATGAATCAGTTGAACTAATTCCATCAGCATTATTAGTATCATCACTTCTCCTCAATTTCATTTCGGAAGACGTGAAAGTATCAGTAGACAAGAACCTACGATCCAATTCAAACAATACTGGAGACCAATCATTTTTCAACAATTTAATATATTCACTTGAAACCAATGACCAAACATTTGTTAATCTTAATACTGGTTGAGATAAAACAATTGAAGATATACCTAGCCATGAAGACATGTTACCTGATTTGTCCAATAAACAACCCAAATCAATCCATTTCTCTAATAATCTTGCTTTAGTTTCTGCAACAGATGATGTATGAACTGCTACATGGTTTTCAAGGAACAAGTGACTAATCAATAATCGTGATAAATAATGGATATGGTGATCATTATTAAATACCAATGGGTTCTTTTTATAGAATCCAGTGGAAGAATCTCTTGAGTTCAATGAAGATAATAATAATAAGGATTTATCAATATCTGAATTCCAACAACGGAAAAACTTCAAATCTATTTCACTTATACTTCGAGCAAAGTCTATTAAATTGATTTCCAGCATGAATGTGGTTGATTTCAAATCATGGAAAGGTTGGATATGAGCAGGTATATCATTGTTTACCAATTCAATTAACATTTGTTGTTTCTGTAACATCTTCTTCTTGAATATTTCAATCTCATTAAATTCATTCTTGTACGTTTCTTGATCAAGATTGGAGGTAATAACTTCTATAAGTCCCAAGATATAAGGGGCAATATCTGATTTCAATAAAAATCCACAGAAATTCTGTTCAATATTGGTTAACAAGTTTAAAATCCTCTTTATTAATATGCAATTGTTTATAGTTCCTTCGAACTTGCCTTCAAAAATTGCGGTTAAAAAAGTAGTAAATAATCTTAATACAGATCCAAAATCAGGGAATATAGGTAAGATATTAATCGCAGTCTTGACCGATTCTTCATCAAGTTCCTCATGAGCAAAAAGAATGAAATGAACCAAAGCTTCTATTGAATTGGCACCTGTGCCTTTCTCTATTGATACCAAAGGAGTTGTAAATTTGTGGCTCACCATGTCATACTTTAAATCAGGATGAGGTATTCTTGTCTTTAAATAACTAATTGGAGATTCAGGTATAATAAATGATCGAGGTGGGAATTGTTGTAAAGCACTAAGTGGTGTTGGTGGTAGACTATGATTATCAGGTAACTTTCTAGATCCCAGAGAGGGAATTGATTGGTTGAGGGACTCTAATCCTCTTTGTTCCTTAGATGGAGGTGTTGGTGGATCAATTTGGGATTGTGAATTTATTGATTCGCTATCAAATTCGGTATTCTCAACTATATCTTCTTCTAATCTAAATCTCTTTATGTTTAAATTTGTTACAGGTTTGTACAAGTATAAATGAGCTCCTTTAAGCTCAGCTCTAAATAATCGTAAATTACGTTCACTAACTTCATTATTATTAACCACGGCATTGACCCAAGTAGTTTTAACTATAGTACCATCAAAGTCAGGTTTGATTAAGGATGATAACTTAGTTGGATTCTGTAAACTGGAAATGGAGGACACTGATCCTTTACGAGGGTTTAACGATTTGTAATAACCATTGTTGGATGTTATTGATATTTTACTGGTATGGGTTCTCGACTTGGATACTGACGTGGGTTGTGATGAGGTAATAGATTGCTTATCTGAGACTAATGTACTAGCTTCAAGTAAAGAAGACGCCAGGTCTATACCATAATAATCAAATTCGGACGCGTAGGTCACTGTTGTATTTTCTTGCGGTTGCGGTTGTGGCAGCAGTCTTTGGTTCTCGTCATTTCTATTGCCTGGTTTACTAGTTGATAAACTTCTTCTTCGATTATCCTTATCCTTCCTAATCCAGATCTTTCTCATCTTGTTTTGGCAAATGATATGGAGGGGGTTGTGATACTTAGTTGTTGAGGGGGGTTGTAAAAAATTAGTTTCCTTCTTCCGAGTGGGTGTTTTTAGTTGATTTGATGGAAACGAGAAAACAGGTTGACTTTAGCTTATAAAATTAACTAACTCTCAATAATAAGGTAGATACACACACACAATACACACACACACTACTTTTGCAATGAAAGGATTGGTTGTTTTGTTATTGTTGTTGATGTTTTTTGGTGGGACTTTAAAAATTAGAATTTTTTTTTACAACGCAATTTTTTTTTTATGTTGGAAGAAAATTTAATTTTCTGATTGTTAAGGAATTTTTTAAATCGAGAGGTTTTTTTTTTTATTTTTCACTGTTAAATAATTTTATAAAAAATAAAAATAATACACACATATAAAATAATATTTTTTAAACAAATTTATTTTTTCTTTGTTTTAACGAATTTATTTTTTTAATTTTATTTTACTCTAGGTAATACTCAATTTTTTTTTTACCATAGTTAGTATAGTTACATAGCTATTCTACAGTAATATATATATATCTTACGCGTTTATTAATGCTTGAAGTAAAAAGAAAACTACAAACGTGTGGAAATCCGGACACATTTACAAATAAACTAACAGCCGAAATAAATACAGTTTGGTGACTTTCTTCTCATTGTTCTTTGCGTAACAAATTCATTTTCGTCTAAGTAAATTTGGCCCATTTTCTCTTTTTTTTGCTTTACAAAATGATCGTGGAATTTTCTTAAAAAACTTTTGATAGTTGCATAAAAAATAATCTTAAAATTGTTTCGTGTAAAAATTTTTTCTATTCTATCTTTTGATTTGGAAAATAATTTTATTCTTTGTATTGTTCTCCCCCATTGTTTTTCATAAATAATACTGTTCTTTATTCCTTTCATAATTATACCTAAATAGGTCATGATCCAAACGTAGATACAGCATATAGTAGCTGTAACAACAATAGATCTAAAAGACAATATCAAAACACGATAGTTAAAAATCACAAAACTAAAAAAAGAGTAAAGAATAAAGACGCAGATAGGCTAGTATGACAGAATTGCGATTACAACAGAAAACACCAACTATCGACATTTGATTCAGTTAAGTATTCAACAAGCTTTGAGAGAGCTGACAAACTGAGCCCCCCCCTCTATGTTCACCCGATTTCATTTCCTTGGGATAGCTCTGTGGCTTTCCGAAATGTTCTTTCATTTGTTTGTATTTCTATCAATAGAAGATCGGGAAGATCGTGAGGCTTTTACAGGTTATGAATCTTTTCTTCGGTCCATGCTTGGCGATTGACTTGTCAAATGAAAGCTATATATAGAAGCACAAACTATCCCCCCTCCCCCATCCACACTAACCTACCCACATCCATGGTTTTGATTTGTGACGAGAATCGTGTTTTCTCCCTTGACAACTTACCTTTCTTTTTGAAAGGGTTTGATCTACGCCATTAAGTTTAGATTTTTACTCTAAACGCGAAAATTAGATGTTTACATTACAAATCGAGTTTAATACCAACAACTGTAAATACCAAGACCAATTCAAGAAAATCATTCTTCCCCCTCACATATTTTTCTCTTGATACAAAGAGATTCAGTAAAAATATCCCAATGGAATGAATGATCTTTCATAACCGAAACCGAACCAAATCATATTAATTTTTTTTTGTTGGTATATACTCTTGTCTGTTCTTGCGAGTAGGTTTAATATCTCACATGAGATGAGCTTCCATTCACTTCAACTTACATGCATAACAAAAAGAGTCAACCAAAAACATCATGCAATTAGACACAGCCAACATTTTTAATACAACTCGCTAAAGTATCTTCTACATGGCTTTACTTAATATTCATCTTATTTAACGGAGTTTGGTGTACTGCACGACTATCTCTTAACCCCATCACTTCTTATTACACCATATGACATCATTCTATCCAAGAATAACTCTCTAATAGTAGTTGTGCTTTCATATCCCCCTTTGATCTAGAATCAAACTCCGGCTCGGTTCGTTCGCCTGTTCTTTCCGTTATCTTATCGAGGTGAGAGAAACACATTTCCATCTGAAACAAAATGTTACATGTCAACGTGCCACGCGGTTAAATAACACTCGGAGATCTTCATCAAACGACCACTCTGACTCATTTTATCTCGGTTATTCACAACTAGTATCTCATGCGTTTATTAAACTAGTGTTATCTCAAAGTGGGTGCACAAGTTTCAGAATAACCGTCTCTGCATAAATTCTGAAACAAAATTCACGCTGAAACGCCTATTCTGAAACATATAATGGGAGGAGATCATAATGATCGCTATGATTATTTCGGACATGTGATTAAAATCTGAAATGAAATTAGAAATAATCGTACTGACTTTGATCCTACTGATTCATTTGAATATATTCGTTTATTTGCCTATTTCCAAAAGCTTACCGAGTCAGAATTTATTAAGCAACATGGCTTATTTGATGGCCAAAAATTTCCAAAAGTTCCTCAAGGTCACTTGTGGATTTTATTACTATCAACTCTATCTTTAGTGTGAATTGTAAGCACTGGTTATTAATCTAATCTGATACTCTTGAAGAGTTTTAATATTGCAACAGCTACAACTCAAGGACAAAGATGAACCTGAAAGTGATATATCAATGGGAGTGAGAACAACGTGAAATGGAAAAACCAGAGTTAAAAAGTCAATAGCCACAGGAGATGGCAAGAATAATAAACGAAAAGCACCAATAGCTAGAGAATAAGAAGTTGAAGAAATCATCAAACGGCCCACCAAAAAATAACACTTCGTCTATGCAACCCAAATCTGTTTAAGGCAGTCATAGGACGGAGATGAGGAAAGAAATATCCCTTGGAAGTATCATCGATTGACCATATCTTATATATCATAAACATACCTTGCTTTTACAAATTCTTTCAATTTGTATGGGTTGAACTCTCCATTGTCTGTGTCAGTAAAATCTCCTTTGTTGCAAATAATCTCTCTTTTAAATTCATCCCATATGAGAAGCGAAAGGGATTTCGAAAGTAGCAAATAAGTTTCATTAGTTATTTCTGTACAATTAAGCATGCTATTATACGTTTTCGGAACGGAAGACTGGGTATTCATCTACTACTAGTGGCAATAATCCAATTGCTGCAAAATTTCTGCTCATCTTTTTGATTCGCACACGCCCATTTTTTTCACTCCAGTTTTACACGACCCTATCCTTTTTTGGATGCTGAAAAAAAACCTCAATTTCTATCAGACTGAATTTAGTACGCCACCCATCATTCAGTTGTCATCACATCTATCTCAATTGTATCACTTATAAAGAAAAATATTCCCTCAATTGGTTTATCAAAATCACTATCTTCATTGCATTATAAAATAATAAACAAAACAACATATATATAAATATACAAACATGTCGGATCCATTTTCAATCAACGGAGGTGCAGCAGTCGCCATGGTAGGAAAAGGATGTATAGCAATAGCCAGTGATCTCAGATTAGGTCAACAATCACTTGGAGTGGCCAATAATTTCGAAAAAGTATTCCAATTTGGTGATAAATGTTTCTTAGGTCTTACCGGTTTGGCAACTGATGTCTTAACATTATCGGAAACATTTAGATTCAAGACCAATTTATATAAATTACGAGAAGAAAGAAATATCGAACCTAAGACATTGGCAAATTTGGTGAGTTCAACCTTATATGAACGTAGATTTGGTCCATATTTCGTTGGACCTATTGTTGCTGGTTTAGGAAGTAAGGATAATCAACCATTTATATGTGGATTTGATTCAATTGGATGTATTGATTTCGCCAAAGATTTTATTGTGAGTGGTACTGCAACTGATCAATTGTATGGGATGTGTGAATCACTTTATGAACCGGATTTGGAACCGGAAGATTTATTTGAGACTATTAGTCAGGCATTATTGAATGCGGTAGATAGAGATGCCTTGTCGGGTTGGGGTGCAGTGGTATATATTGTGACTAAAGATAAAGTAGTCAAGAGAGTTTTGAAAACTCGTCAAGATTAGGGATTGTGTGTGTACATTAGAATAATAATAAGTCTTATTAAATAGATGTATTAAAAAAAAAAGAGCAAATATACATAAAACCGTTAAATATAAATAGCAATCTCTTTGAACCTTGTTTTTTGTTGAACTAAATACCCATTCTCTTAATAACATATTCTTGGGCAACCACACCTAAACTCAATGCCAATCCATCTTTAATCCAACCACTTACCCATTCCCTTGGATCCACTTCTCCCTCTGGTTCTTCTCCCATTATACTCAAATCATCTCCATCAAGCCAAGAAGCCCAACGTAATGGGAATGCTTGGGATTTAGTAATGATTGAAATATCATTAGTTATATCCTTGAAGATGATTGTAAAACTAAATGAATCAGGATTTGTCCCTTCAATAACGGTAGTTGAATCAGTTGTAGTCAGTTTTGAAGAATCGGATTTCGTACATATTGGTTGAATAGAAATGAAAATATTTGAAGTATTTACTAATTCTTCATCTTCTTCCGCAGGTTGTTGAGCTTCATTGTCTTGTTTTGGTGCATTGGCAGCTTGAAGTCTTCTATAATCTTTAATTGAACTTTCTAAATTTGCAAAACATAATTTTTCACCATCGATTAATTTCCCATAAAACAAATTCAAAGTAGTATTCAGAGGTTCTTGTGAAGTGGAATGGGAATTGAATTGATGAACAGCTACTCTAACCCCACCTTCAACTTGCTTCATCACCTGGGAAAACTTTTCATTTACAATTCGATCCAAATATGATAAATTATATAAATCACATACAACGAAAATATTCAATACTTCATTAACATCACCCAATTCTTCTAATATACCTTGTTTAATAGATTGACCAACATTAAGAATCATGGAATTCAATTTATTAGAAATATCAGCTGTATCAATTTGTTGTCGTTCTTGATTAATTCTATTCGTGGTAGTCAGAGCCAATTGATAAGTTTGTTCAGTAATCTTTTCCGCATTAGTAGTTATCGATCCCCAAAGAGATGATACTTTATTAGAACCTTGAGTCGACCACCAATTTGTAATTGAACTTATTGGATCACCAATTTCTAGTTCAGCACCAGCATCATTAGTGGTATGGCCATCATCAGATTTGGAAGTGTCAGACGATGAAGGACCAGTAGTTGCATCAGTGCTGCCAACTACATCAGTCGCAGAAGGTGTTGCATCCGCAGGAGCTTGAGGATGAGGAGGAGTGGCTGAAATTGTATCGGTTTTCTTGGGTTCTAATCTCTTAGTTGGACGTTTCTTTTCATGTTGAGCCAATTCATCAAGAAAGTCCAATAAATCTTCTGGATTTTCTTCCTTTTTGGTGGTTCCAGACGAGGAGATTGAAGTATTGTCAAAATCACTTGATTTCTTACCAATTGGAAGTTTTGGAGTAGATGGTTTAGAATCGGGAAGTGAATTGATGAAGTCTAAGACATCATCTTTGCTTGGTTGGTTATTACTCATACTTTTTCTTGTTGTACTTTCAATGCTGGTAATTTTGGCGTGTGGTAAATTAAGTGTCATGATTTTCAATTGGTATCAAAAGGGTAGGTACTGGATAAGAATGTAGAGTCGTGTACCAAAATCAACAGAAAAAAAGGTTTTTCTATTCAAATCCCGTTTTACCATTTTGCATTGAATGATTCTCAAAAGACAAACTGGAAAAAAAAAAGTGGAACCAATTGTATCCCGAGAATTACTTATTAATATTAGTCATCTTCTAAGAGGAACACTTATAAACCTATTGCAATAATAATATAATACACGATGCATCCACAACTAGACAAGAATAGATTCGACACCTGTGAAAAACTAATGGATGCACTTGAAGAATGTCATCGTCAAGAATTTGTTAAACAACTTTTGGGAAGTTGTAATTTTGAAAAAGATCAATTATCAAATTGTTTACATTATACAAGAGTACATGACTCTCATGAAAGAATTAGACAAAGTAGAGAAAAGAAAAAGAAGTTTGAAGAGAAATTAAAGAGGAATGAAGAAGAATTATATGGAAAAGATGGATATTTAAAGAAAGTTATTGAATTGGAACAAAAAGCAAAGAAACTTTGAACAAAAGAGGGAATCGAATAGAAGGAATCAGGGCGGTTTGATCTGTAAATAGTGACATATTTCGTGTGTATATTTAAAGTACGAATATATGTAAAATGGATATTAAAATTAATGTAGTTGAATTAGGAGGAACGATAACTCTTGGAACGAGAAGTTCTTGAAATCAAAAGGTTTCAACTGGCAAAAGAATGAGAGGACCATAATTGGGTGGGATAAAGAAGCAAGGGCGACATACAAGAGAATAGCAGCTAGGGATGTCCAAAGTGTATGTAATATTTTTAAGCCATGGTACACGTAAAATGCAACACATAAATATGTTGCAAAAAAATCCTCCCTAGTCATAAGAATATAACCAACCCATCAATAAAGAGAACATCTACAAACATCATATAGAAACAATTAGCATATAATTAATTATTATTATTATTATAAAAGAAATCCCATTGTATATATATAAAATCTACCCAAAAAATTAACTAAAGAAAATTAAAACCAAACGCCATAAGAATTGTAACAAGTAACAAATCAATCAACTAAACAAATAAAACCCATAAAAAATGTAAAGCAACAACCAAATCTCTCTAAAATAAATCAGCAAATTCAGCAACATGTGGATGAACCAAATCAGGTTGAGGAATTTCATCTACTTTATTCTTGTTGTTGGAATTGTATTGTAGCCGATATGGAAGTTCAGCTTTATCAGCGTGTTGAATACCACAAGATAAATAATTCATCATTATTCTATTAAATGATTCTTCATCATTAGCAACAAGTTTATTATTATAATCAATGATTAATGGGAAGTTTTGGTTTTTATCCTTCAATTGATTCAAGATTGAATTATTATTTGGATGAATATCAATACATTGATCATTAATAAATTTAGAATCATTCATGGATAATTGTTGATTAAATTTAACATCAATATCAAATTTGGTAGTTAAAGAAGGTGTAGATAAATCATCTTGTTTATGTTTAGTACATGGTAATAAACTATATGATGATAATCTACTTAATAAATTATGTGATAATAATGAATTTGTATTATGATAAACTGTAATTGATGATTTGGTAGCTCCACTTACAGTATTAGTAGTTGAATTAGTNATGATAATCTACTTAATAAATTATGTGATAATAATGAATTTGTATTATGATAAACTGTAATTGATGATTTGGTAGCTCCACTTACAGTATTAGTAGCTGAATTAGTTGTAATATGTTTAGAAGTTGATTTCAATGCATTATTAATAATTGATCTAAAGAAAGACATTCTGGTATTAAATTCCTATTGATTGATTTGTTAGATAGGGAAAGAAAGAGAAGAGAGAAGGAATAGAAGACAGAGAAGGGAGAACTAGAGAGATATCCATTTGTATTTATATTACAAGAAAATTGATAACAGTTGCAACAAAAAAATAGAGGGGTATCGTTTATACAGGAAGGAAGGGGAGTGTCGTATAGAAAAACCTATTAGTGATGGACTGAGTCACAAAAATTCAATGCGCAGTCAGAGAAAAAAAAAATCCCCTCCTTTTTTCCTACGAAACACTTTGAAACTCGCAATGGGCTGTTCTAATTTATTGTTCCAAAAATACCCAACACTCTCTTTAACACACACAGCACTCTTTGTGCTAAAAAAAAAATTCTCCTCTTTTAAACGAAACAAAAAAAAAACTTTTTTTTTTCAACATTGCCACACCTAAAAATAGCAAAACATCCATCCTTCAATATTAATACACCTCCTCTCTCTCTTTATCTCCCTATCTTTGCAAAATTCTGAAACTTTCATCCCCTGCTACAACCTTCTTTATTGTGTGAGTAGACTGATGACACCACGTAACACAACACACGCAACACAACTTACTCCTTCTTCTTCCTCACTTGCCTTAAATAAATTTACATAGTGCCATTCTAGAACTTACCATAAAAAGAAAATTATTAAAATTTATTATTTTTTTTTTTTTGGATTCATGCAACAAAACCGTTATCTATCTAAAACGTTTTTTTTCTTTCTATCTTTTTGCAATCTAGACTTCCACCTCTGCAATATCATGTAATCTATCTCACATTTCTAGATCTTTACCCTTTTAAATTTGTACGTCATGTTACATAAATCATAATTGATAAAACCGTATTAGTTGTATTGAATGTAATACACGTGTCTTATACATGTGTACTATCTGAATACATAATTATGAATCTCCTTCGCAACTATTACATCCCTTTCCACACTCTCTCCCTTTCTCACTTCTACTTTTTTTGCTTTCCTCAGCTGATCCCTTTCCTTAGATTTCTATCTAATCTCTGGGTGTTCTTTTTTTTTCCATATCTTTCTATCTCAACCGCCTCGCTTATTAACCATAACCCTTTCGTTTTCCTTATCGATGTATTTTTGTTCCTCTTGTCTTGTTCTGTCCTTTGAATCTATCCCTTTTCGACAATATCCCCTGGTGGGTATATTACAAATCTCGCAATAATAATTGATTATCCTCGATCAATGGAAGTATACTATACTTCTTGCTCTACATAGCCTCTCCCTTCTTGCTCTACATAGCCTATCCCTTGAAGAGTTGAAATGGAAGAATATCTACAAAGCCACCAAATGTTCGTTTCTACCTAATTGGTTTCTACATGTCATTTTTGTTTCCTCTCCGGAATAAAGCAGAACCTATGTAAAGCTTTCCGATCCGATATAATCGTTTACAAATGCTTGAAGAAGGTCTTACTCTTTTTTCTAGAACTTACATACTCTCTAATATACGGCAAATTGATTATAACTGCGTTTACGGTGTCAATTCCGTTTTTGCTTTTTCTCGCTCGGAACAATTATTTAAAAAGGGAGGAGTAAAACTGAGGGGCAATCTTATTCTTTGTTAGTTTGAGGCTTAGGCAAAAATATATCAAAAAAATTTACTTGCCAACAATTTTTTTTGGGATGAAGGGAAGGGAGGGGAGAAAAGAAAGAGATTGTTCAAGTTACGCGTCTCAAAATCAGTTTCATCATCCCCTCTTGGTCCTATACGACGACCCAACCCAATCCCCCCAATGTTGGCTATGTCGACTGACTACCCTGTAGTTTCACCATCAATTTCCAAGCGTAAATAACAAAACTTGTAACAAAACCTGTAACAAAATGTTCGTGTCAAATAAATCAACTTCGTTTGAAAGGATCTCGGCTCGGTCTTCCCTAAATTAGGAAACCCAATTACTCTTTTTTGCCCAGCCAAATTTCTTTTTTTTTTTTAGGTGAACGTTTTTAGCGAAACTCAACGACGTTTCGGAATAAAACCACGAGTCAGAAATAAAAATCACTCGGCAATTAGCGCCGCCACGTTTCCTTTAGTGCGAGAATTATGATTTATCCATGGAGAGATAATCATAGCGAGTTCTACCATATTATTACTACTTGACATGACTAGTTCTAGCCTGCTGGTTCCAGAAACACACTCTACAAAAGCCTAGTGGCTGTGCCCGGATAAAGTTATCCATCCGGATAAACAACTACCTATACCTATGCATACTTCTGTATGGACTTTGAAAATCAAAAACCGGACAATTAGTAAAAGCCCTACTGATTCATGAATTGAATTGCTTCTATCAGTTTGACCCGCCTCTGATGGATAATTTTCACGGGATATGACGATATACCAAAGTCAACTTCAAAGGGATGAAGTCGGGTTCTATGGACACGAAGGGGCTAGGGGGGATGATCATATCTTAGCGTTCTTTGGGGAGGTTTCTAAATCATATGATTATGGACTTTTGTTGGGTTTGGATGGGTTTATGGCATGTTTTTCATCTCTATCTCAGCCGTTTTTTTGGAAAAGCTCCTTCCTTGATGAAACGTTTGTTTCAACTTTACCATGTCCCGAATTGCTTGTACAAACGTTGTCCAAAATCTCTTCTCGAATTCGAAGTTTTCATATGCTTGCTTTCAATTCCAAGTAATAATCACTATGCATTTGATGAGTAATCCTGAATCGTAAAGAAATCTGAGGCTTCCAAGTTAGAATCTCTCCCTGGCGATATTACAACAATTTTACTTATATTCTAGCTCCATACAACTATAAGTTTATAAATTCTAATACTAATAAAATTCCGTTTGCTCTCTCCCTAGCTCTGATAACAGAAGCTGATTGACTTTCGAATGGATTATAGACTATTTTATTGACTTTCTATGTCAGTAGAAATTTCATGGACCAAAAATATCCAGTAACGTGATATTCGTGTGACATTCACATGACATGGACTGGTAGCGCGTTTTGGCTGAGTCTTGACAGTCTTGTTGATTTGTTTGATTTCATAACATTATGCAAGTTTTGATTGAATTTGGGATAGATTCTTCTTGCAGTAATGATTTCAAAGTTATGACGGGTGAAAAGTTTTTGATATTTGGAGGATTTAGTGTGAATTTTTTAGGGGTGTGAAAAATTGGGAATTTATTTGGGTAAATATTCTATTTGAAGTATAATCAGTTGAAGAAGCCCCCGTTCAAACTCCAAGTTAGAGAACAAAACTCCAGATTAACAAGTTGTATTCTGTTATTTCGAATATGACATAGAGAGATGATTATTATGAAAACAGAGCGAATTGACATATAGACATGAAAGTAACCTATGCCCATCCATAGAAGAGACAATGAAGGGGGGGAGGGGACATGCGTTGTTATAATATTATGTTGATGTGTATCTATTTGTATCTGTTAGCTTTCTCTTCCAAGTGGGTTTTGCTTTAGTTGGTTCTTGGTGTATTGCTTATACAATATTCATATTTGATAAATTTTTTGCAATAATTATAAAGTTGCAATTTTTATTAAATTCATCTAACTCTGAAAATTTGACTCAAGAAGCGAAAAAAAAAATTAATAATCACCCAATTATAACACGGGATTGTAATCAGCGGCTAGTATTTCATTCTTCTTTAAACTATACACACTACACTACAATGGATTATGATGAAGATGAATTAAATTATCGTTCTGAAGAAGGAGAAGAAGAAGAATTCCATGAAGATAATTTAACCAATGAAGAATATGAATTATTACATCAATTATTACCAAAATTAAAATTACAATTAAAGGATTATAATGATGAAATTGATGATTATAATTTAAAAGAATCTTTATATTATAATTATTTTGAATTAAAACCAACAATTGAAGAATTGAAATCTAAATATAAAAAGAGTATGTATCTTTATCTTACCCATATTTACTTGTAATTCTATCACATTACCCCCCCTCCATCCAACTACCATCCCATACTTGAAACCACCAAAAAAAACTTACACTTTGACTCATTTTTCAATCCAATCTTCCACTTTTCTTTATTAATAGAGCCACCTCCACCCCACCAATGTCAAAGCTAGCACAATTAGCTAAAGCCAGAGCACAAAAGAGACAACAACAACAGCAAGAGGACCAAACACTGCCACCCGTATCAGATGACTCACAATCAAATCCAACTCCATCAAAACCAAATACAAAATTATCATCAATAGCAAAGAATCGTGCTAATCGTTCAAATGAATCTCCATCACCTATACCGAAATCAATTGCTATATTAGATAGATTATCATCCAGCTCAAACTCGCCTTCACCAACCCCAACACCGTCAACAAGACATATACGCATACTAAAGAAGAAACCAATAAAACCAACGACCCCGTCTCATGAGACATCGACAGCATCACAATTTCCAGAAGTGGAAATGAAAGATGTTGAAGAAGAACCAATCATACCAGAAATAATATTTGATATAACACTTGATAATTCAATACTATCCCAGAAACCTTCGAATTCAATTTCTTTATTTTGGTTCAATGAGGGAGGAGAACAGCAACAGATTAAAAGAAGGAAATTACAAGATGATGATATATTCAAACAAATTACTAACATAAATCTAGAAAAAATCACTCAAGTGAAAGAAAATTTTACTAAACCTTCACCGGATGATGAAATCTTACAAGCTCAAAAACAAGCTTTTGAAGTTGACTTATCAAATTTGACCATCTCCAACAAGGAACAACAACAGTCATCAGATCGAAAGAAATCTATAGTCAAAGAAACAAAACCATTCAAAAAGATCGACTTAGAAAAAGAACTTCGTACCAACCCTAACTACACCAAACCCCATAAATCATTCGTTGTCATTGGCCATGTCGATGCGGGAAAATCCACCCTTATGGGTCGATTACTCTTTGATTATGGAATCGTCGATGCCAAAACAGTGAACAAATTAGTCCGAGAATCGGAAAAGGCCGGAAAGGGTTCTTTTGCCCTTGCCTGGATAATGGATCAAACTGAAGAAGAAAGATCTCATGGTGTGACAGTTGACATATGTGCCACAGATTTTGAAACCCCTCTGACTAAATTCACCGCAATTGATGCACCTGGACATAAAGATTTCGTGCCACAAATGATTGGTGGTGTTTCTCAGGCGGATTTTGCTCTATTGGTTGTAGATACAATCACGGGGGAATTTGAATCTGGGTTTGCAATGGATGGACAAACTAAAGAACATACAATCTTGGCCAAGAATTTAGGAATTGAGAAAATTTGTGTGGTTTTAAATAAAATGGATAAAGAAAATTGGAATCAAACTAGATTTGATATTATTAAGAACCAATTGACGGAATTTTTGACGGGACCAGAAGTGGAATTTAATGAAGACCAAATTGATTTTATTCCAATTTCGGCATTGTCGGGGAATAATGTGGTTAAACGAGATGAATCAATTGATGCATTGAATTGGTATACTGGTCCAACATTGGGTTCATATTTAGAAAATGTTGAATTGGCTAATAAATCAGAAAATTTATATACGGAACCATTTTTCCTTTCAGTTCATGATGTATATAAATCAACTGGCGAATTAAAAGTTAGTGGAAAGATCAGTAGTGGATATATTATGGCTGGTGAAACCATAATTTCGTTGCCTAGTGAAGAATCCTTACAAGTGAATACAATTAAAGAAGCTAAAAAACCAGTTGATTTTTCTATTAGTGGTCAATTGATACAAATGGCATTTAAAGCTAGTCAGCTTTCAAATGAAGCAGTTGAACAAATTAGAATTGGAGATTTGATTACAAAATTAGGTTCCCCAGCTAGAACGGTTAAGAAATTTATTGTTTCTCTTCATTTATTTAATATGGATAAACCTTTATTAGTGGGGATGCCATTTATATTGTTTAGAAATAATTGTCAAGTTCCAGCTAGAGTTTCTAAGATTATTGAAATAACTAGTGGGAAGAAGAAGAAGAAGTTATTACATTTAGTATCTAAACAAACTGCAATTGTGGAAATTACCGTTGATGAAAATTCATCATTACCATTAACCAAATATTCTGATAATAAGATATTAGGTAGAATAGTAATTAGAAGAGAAGGAGTAACTATTGGTGCAGGTACAGTTGTTGATTTCTAACGTTTCCATTTTGTATATATTACGTATTGTATGAATATTTTCATTTAAAATGATATAAAATCTACCAAAAGTATAAAGAATCCAAGCGTTACACATAATATGACTAATAAATTAGCACCTCTTTTATTCTTTTTAGTTGCCTTTTGTAATGTTTTATTCCCCATTTCAACCTCTATTTCCACTTGCAGATGAGTTTCCATTAAATTCCCAATTGTTTCTCCTTGACTTGTCAATTTAAATGATAATTCATTTTGAATATTTATAATATCAAGAATTGATTTTTGAACCTTTTCAACTTGTTGAAATTGATTAGTTTTCATAGTTAGGAATTCCAGGTTTTCTAATTCCAATTCTTGTAATTGTTGTTGTGATATTGGTTCTTGTTCTATATGTTCTCCATCTTGTACCGCTGCCAATTGTGTTGATGAATATTGATCTATATCTGCAAATTCATCATTCAAATCTTCATCCTCAAGGAAATTCTGGAAATTTAATAAATTCAATTGTTTCTCTCTTGTAAGTCTCTTATGTTGAAGAGCATCAAATTCTTTATTAACATGATTTAAAGTTTCCATCAAGAATCGTAATATCTGTTTTCGATGAATGGTCATCGTGGTATAATAAATCTCTTGATCACTAGGTTCATCATCAGCTCCAAGTATGCTTCCAAGCCAACCACCATGACTATGACCACCACCACTACTACCACCAGATATACTATTTGTAAGTTCCTGTCGTTTACTTTCATATGTTTCTAAATGAGTTAATTTTTTATACATTTGTTGAATCTTGACATTAAATTCTTCATCAATTTTATTCTTATCTTGAATTGATAAACTTCCTACTACTGCGTTTGAATCATCATTTATGGCTAAATAAGGTGATTTTATTTCCTTTATGAATTGATGCATACTGGTTAACATTTTATAGAAATCAAGTGTTTCTTTAATGAATGTGTCTTTTATTATGTATGGTACTGAATCATCATCACCTTGCTTTCTGGTTTGGGATTTGTCATAGTCTAAGGATGGATCATCGCCTAATCCGGATTGGACAATGTTGACACATTGTCTAAATAGAGGTGTTAAGTCTGTCATTGGTTAGCTTTGGACCTTGTACCCTATTTGGTGATCTGGCTGTTTAGTGAAATTTTAATATTTTTTTGGTTGGCCCTGGGGTTATAGAACTGATTCAATATATGAGAGAACGAAATGCTGAAACCTTAGAGAGAAAGAAATGATAAATACATTATTCTAAACATTTACATACAAATTCATGAGATTGAACAGACACAATGAGTTTGACTATAAATGAAGTCTCCAGAAGGGTACTATGCACACAAATAATCAATACAAATTGTTATTTCAACAGCATCTTTATGTTTAGTTACTGGATTTACTACTGATACAGTATATGAAGCATACAATATGTTCCATCTACCAGTATATTCTTTACCATTGACATTCTTAACTCTAATATTATGATATCTCTTATATTCCGGAGATCCTTGAACATATTTAACATATCCTGGAACCCCAGGATAAAGGATATTATCAGCAGCAATTATTGTACCAGGAGCAATCAAATTAAGAGTTTCAAGTACTCTAATATCAGGTACATACATATCTTTCCAATGATCAATAAAGACGAAATCAATTGCCCGAAATTTATCATTTTGTTGAATACGTTCTTTAAATTGAATCAAATTCTTTGATGCCTTCCCCAAGATAATTTCAATCTTATTTGATAACCCAGCCAATTGGATAAACCGATTAGCTATCCCAGCATAGTATTCATTGACTTCAAAACTATAATATTTAGCTTCAGGATCACCAACTAATTCTTTAGCAAATAATATTGCACTATATCCAACATATCCCCCTAATTCAATCATTATTTTTGGTTTCAGTTTTCGGATTTGATCAACTACAACTTTACCTTTAGCAGGTCCAATATTCATAAATAATCTTAATTCTATTGCTTTGGATTCAATTAATTTCAATACTTCTTTAGGTTTGCCTTGTATTTTCACAAGTTGTTCTTTAGGTAGATTAAATATAGATTCAACTAATCTATCTTCTTTAGATTTAGTACATGTCATTTCTAATACTCTATACCGTTGAAGGTAAACTGAAATCAAATAAAGATTGTCCGACCTATGCTGTCATGAAAAGTGTTATCCACATACCACATTTCGAGTCGTTCCTGGGGCTGCCGATACTTTAAACTTCACGGACAAGCTTTTAACAATCAGCCGCACCTTCCTAATTAGGAAATCCAGTTATTAGTTCAAAACCCCACCGTCTCTCAGAATTTCTCCTGTATGACAACTAATAATTCGCATATTATGAGACAAATATGATGAACCATGAAAACACATTTGAGTCACTTCTATAATACTTCTGAAGCATTTCACAGTATCCAAATTGTCATTATTAAGAGACTATCATGGAAGTTTCGTCATAAATCATCCCATATGTTTATAGACCCCCGAGGAATGTCTCATGTCGTCACTTGAAATGTCGTCCATTCCAGTACAATATCTCATTTCCAATCATCATCACTTTTTCATTTTTGTTGCAAAAGTTCCTTTTCCTAACTATTATTGTCATATATCAAGATCAAATAAACTATGACAGATTTAAATGACTCAGAAGAAATAACCAATAAGATCGTCGCTCCAGTAGTCTCTGACGCCTTGTCTAGATTTCAAGCATTAAAAGCCAAACGACAAGAAGCCAAAAAACTAAACAAGCGAGAAATATTCCAAGATGCAAAGAATCAACGAATGGCATCCATAAAAGCAAGACAAGAAGAAATCAATAAACAAAATCAAGAAGCCGGTGACGATAGACATACTAAACAAGATGAAAAAGATCAGTCAGAGAAGAATCTTGAATATACAATCGAAGAAACTGAAAAATGGCAAGCAAAACAAAAGAAAAAGAACAACAATCATAGAGATGGAACTCAAAATCTTGATATATTGGCCGAAACTACCTATATAAAGGAAATATCTGACATAAAAATCGACAAAGAAGAATACAACCGACAAAAGAAATCATTAATGGAGAAATACAATATTGATGATGAGTCACAATTGAAAAGCATAGTGGACGTTGAAAATAAACCAAGTCCACAAACTATGAGTGAAATGGTGACTAAATTGGCTGAATCTAATGAAAGAAAGATGAAGAGAAAAAGAAACAAGGGTGATGAAAAAGATGTTGATAGTTTTATTAATGAGAAGAATAAACAATTCAACATGAAATTGAATCGTCAATACAATTGAAAAGTGTCGATGGTTGTTCTCATTTAAACCTTATTATCTTCCAAAAAACTAGCTTCAAAATCAATACCGATACTAGACACTTTAAGGATGGTTTACAGAACAAGAATCAAGTTACATTAAATGCTGTTGTTCAATATAAGGTCTTTATCGAAGAATCAAGGGATCGGAGGAGAGCGACGAAACTGGATTTCGAGCATGTGGCATGCGAGTTCCATGTGATGTCCTTGGAACAGTCGTGGACTGTTGCAATTGTATCGATCGAGGTTTTAGAGTTACATTTAGAACCAGCTTACAAGAGACAAGGCAGGACATGATTCTCGCATGTTCGGTGTGCTTATGCTTCCCTAGTGTTAAATTAAGCTAAATAATCAAGAGAAATGACATTATAATAGTTGCAACGGTGAATAAGGACTTGTTAGTGCTCTCTCTGGCAATACCATCATTTGAAGTCTTGGTTGTGGTTGTATCTGTGGTAGTCTTGGAGCTAATCACATTCGTGATTGTTGTCGGGCTCGTATTTATGGCTGTAATATTCTTTGTTGTTGTAGTTGAATTCGCTGAAATAGTGGTAGTAACTAGAATTGGTTCAATGCCTGGAACTTTCACTGGAGGGAGACTGGAACATGAACATGGGCATTCATTCCCAATATCAGGTCCAGTTAGTTGATGAGAAATTATAAGCATATCCTCATAAAGCTCAGACTCAGCAAACGCAAACCTGAAAGACAGTCTTTCGTATCCGGGTCCGATATCAAAGATTAAAGGTTCATCGAACTGCGGCACATGTACATCCAAATAGCGATCTTTTCTGTAATCTAGGGGTTCAAAATTCCGTTCGACTTAGTGCTCGAAATTTGCCTAACAATTGTAATAGTATTATTTCCACCAAAATTAGCAACTTTGATTGTCGCATTCCATTCATAAAAAGAAGTATCTACCGTTAGTGTGGAATTGCCAGTTAAGCAAGCCCATGAATCTGGTTGTCCATTAGTCCAAAACGAAGAATCTTCAAGAACAATGCAACCCTTCCCTGACCTGCATCACGAAGCCATAAATGGGTATTACTGATGCATACAAGATTATTATTTGTAATAGTACCAATAACGTCGTCGGACCGGACAAGATAGATTTCTCCTTCATTTTTCATTTGAATTCCTATATGTTGTACGTCCACTACAGCCACAATTATTCTTGTGTAGGGAGCAATTAATATATAATATGTCATCGATTTGTACCCCCTGTATGCTAATACCTCTCTCGGGAGGTTCTATTCCTCTAAGGTAGTAAAATTGATTCAAATGACTAAGACTGTAGATATTTACGGAAGTCACGTCAAAAAGAGATAACAGACCAGTTACGGAAAATCTTGATCGTTTGAAGGTTCCTCCTCTTTGGATAACTTCATTTTTGATGCCTAAAGCGAATACCCTGTTTAGGATTGCAAAGAAGAAGACATAATCTAAACTGAATCCAAGTATACTTAACTATAGAACTGCTTTCTAAAACTTCAGTCAAAATGAGATTTTAATCACTTGATTCTTCGTTTGCTTTGATAAAATCCAAATTTCGAAAGAGTCATACGAGTATTTCTAATAGTCTTTGGACAAAAAGAGGAAAACAGCTTTGTCTAAATTTACGAAAACACATAAAATGAGATTGCTTTTATGTTAATTACTGTAAAGAAATTTCAGATATTGAATGCTTGGCGCATTTATATTCTTGAAGAACAATCGGAAAATATTCAAAAAATATTATATTTTTTTTGAATTTCGGCTAATGATGCGGCTCAAAGTGTTTAGTAAAAAAATAACCTTGATGAATCCAAATTTGCATATTCATCTCTAATACACTGTAGGTCCAACCTATCTGTTATAAACTCTTTGAACGTTTTCATTTCTTAGGATTAACCCAGTGAAGGGACCCCTTGACTTCTTTAGCGCGGGCCCGTCGACTAAGTAGTTGAAAAGTGTTTCCCATTGTTTGAATTTGCTTCTTTTTATTCTTGTGGCCCATTAAAAAGGCTTAAAAACACTTGGCGCAACATTATATTAGTAAAGGTTCCCAAACCTGTCTATTTACAGGTTTCTGAACTTGTTCAAAAGTTTTCTAGATAAGTCTGTGTTTTCGTTGGTTGTTACGTAAAAGAGCCTCGGTGGAAATTCTACCAAATATCAGATCAGCAAGAAATGTGACATTTACTTTGAGAAATACTCTTTTGGCCCTGGATTATCGTGGAAAAGTCCATAACACAATATTGGTGTTGAATCACAATTGAAGAATATCTAGGAGTGGAATGGTGACTCAATTTATCGAATCCAATTTTGGTATTGTATTCGTGTAACGTGATAGCGATAGATTCGTTACGATTGCAATATTCGAACGCTGAGCATTTTAGTTTCAAGAGATAAAGCAGGATGAGATTCCTGTGCTTGCTATACAAATGCAACATTAGAATCCAGGAATCACAGCTAAGTAATTAAAAGGAAAGAGAATAGAATAGTTACAACTGCCAAGACGGACATGTTAGTGCCTTACCAGGTAACACCTTCATTTTAAGGCTTAGTTTTACTTGTCTCGTTGGTAACATTCGGTTCAATGACGTTTGTGATTGTTGCCTGGTTTGTATCAACAACGTTTAAATGTTTAAGATATATTCATTCCTATCAATTAGCCCAGTGAAGGATCCCATCGTTAAGTAATTAAGATTAGGCTCTGTTTGTTTGAACTTGTTTCTATGATGTTGTCTTTGATTCCATGCATTACAAAGGCTTTGAAAGTGTCCGCCTCGGGTACAAACTTCTCCCAGAGTAGAATTTCAAAACAGAATAAGATTCGAAATTCTATGTCATTCTAATTAATATATAGGACCAAAGCAAACCCATAATTACTAAATAAGCTAAACATGTAGGAGGAGAGACAATATAACCTTGACAATAGTCAAGAAAGACATGTTTTCTCTAGCCGCACCCTCATTGGAGGTTCTAGTTTCCGTAGTCTCCGACGTGGGATCCGAATCAATTAGGTCAGTTGCAAGTGTTGGGATAGTAATCGTATGATTCTTGAAGGCACTTTCACTTGAAATTATAGTTTTACAACTGTCTGTGGTATGTGGGCAATCGAGTATATTTGTGATTGTTGTCGGTTTAGTATCAATGAATGTAGTATACAGAATTTTTGTATCACCAAACCACGTAATAGTGGCGGAACTCACAATTGGTTTCGCACCTGGAATTTTAACTACAGGTGCGTGGGTACATAAACATGGACATTTATTTCCCTTTCCTCTAGCATCAATCTGAAGATAATGAAACAGATCCTTCTCTGCACGATAATATTTGAAATCTACTAATCCCGGCCCAATATCGAAGACCATTGGTTCTTTGGATCCTGGAACATTTACATCGTAATAGCGGTTTTCTCTGTATCCAATGGGTTCCAACTTACTGTCTTCCGAGTCAGTACTCGAAATGGAATGAAAGATTTCAATCCATATAGCACCAAAACCAGCAAGTTTGATTATTGATTGTTCCTTATACAGAGACGTATTTACACGTAGTATTGAGCTATCATATAAACAAATCCAAGAGTTTATTTGTTTGTTAATCGTCAATATCCCCGTTTGAATACCAAAACAACCTTCACCGGAGCCTACATCTTGCACAGCAAATTTGGTTCCAAGTATACAAACTGTATTGTTATTTTTAAAAAAGCCATTGGCTTGGGAACTAATCAGCATAAGATAAATTTCTCCTTCGTTTTCAGTGTTAATATCCATATTTTGAACGTGTTGAACAGTCAAGTTACCTTTATTCTTTTGCAAAGAAAGGGATACGCTAGAATTTTCGTTCTGTAAGGAACAATCAATGTATATTAATCCATCATTCTGACCTCCTGATATGTCAAGACGACGTTCATTGGGTTCTGGTCCTCCCATATAGTAAAATTTATTCAAGTTATTTAGTTCCTGGATCTCCACCAAGCTAACGTCAAGAAGAGATAACAGACCTGCAATGGAAACATGCGATTCTTTAAACACTCCTCCTATTTGAATAACTTCATCTTTGACCTGTAAGGAGAGTATGCTGCCGAGAAGTATAGTTAGCAAGACACAAATTAAACTGAAATCAAACATATTTCAGTATTTCTGTTCAGCAATTTTTATGGACACCTTTGATTGTTTTGATAACTTTAACCAAAAAGTCAGAAAATCATATTAAAGAATCCCGAAGATTTTTTCTAACAAAGTTTTGCCTGAATGTAAGCAAAAGTGGTGAGATAATGAAAACATCAATATAATTCTCGATGCATCTTTTGAGATTCCGAAAGTAGTAGGCTGACGAAAAAGCCATAAAAAAATAAATTATTTTTCCAAATTAATCTAAAAATAAATTGCTTTGTGTTATTTTTAATTCCTCCTAACCTAAAAATGTTAGTTCATAACCATTGCTTACAAAATCAATGCCATGACCAGTTGAATGAACTATAATTAGCTACCAGAAGATCCAAAATTATCAGGCTTGTTCAGTATCAATTGGTAATAAAACATAGAAACCGCGCGCTTGAATCAAGTCCCCTAGCTTCATTATGTGTCGCACATGAAGTACGGACATCCAACTGGTGGTCTACAGCATGGAGCTAGGAAGCCTTTCTACCCCCATCTAGACAGCTTGAATTGATATCACAAAGTAAAGCATTCTTTTTTAGATGAGAATGCATCTCGAATAATCTTCGTAACCCCAAAAGCTATTTTTGCAAAACAAATTAATAAAAGCGGAAACAATTATAATGTTTTAGCCCTGCCACATATTCTAAAAATAAACACAAGAAGAACAAGCTTCCACATGTTCTACACTCCAACAAAGCGAGTCTTACATGCTGCCCTTCACTTTTATTTTTCTTTAATGGAGGTTAATAAATTTAATGGAATATGTCAAGTTTCTTACCATTTTTCAATTTTATTGGTAGGATGAAAAATTCAGATCCCAAAGCTTTACTTGCAGTTCACTTTGTTTAGCTCCTATTTTTAGATTTAGGTTATATTCTAGCCTGGTAAATTTAAGATTTTAACTTCCAAATATTGTCCTACATGACCTTTCTAGTGATGTTACATCCAGAAACAGACCCCAGTAATCCTGTAGGATTTCCAATTTTCAAGTATTCTTTGGTCATTCTTGTTCAAGTTGTTAAAAATAGCTTCCGACACGGAAATGAACGTCTAAGGGGTCAATAAGACTCTAGGCATCGTAACTATAAATATGACTGGATTTTACCTGAATTGAGAAGAAGTTATTCCTAAGTTTTCTTTAATCACTATAACTTATTACTTTCGCTTTTGTTTATTAGTTATGAAATACGATTTTATTTTAAGCGCCTTAGCTAGTGTTGCTTTGGCACAAGCATTTACGGTCACGGTTAATGACAGACCACTTGTAATTAGAGGTCTGGTAGTCCATATTGGTTTTCCACAAGAAGAAGCTGCTGAATTTGAATTAGAAGGTGAAGCTTTACAACTCCCTGATGGTACAACAGTTGGGACAACTGAAGATGACGGGTTTGTAAGAACCTTGGGTGATGTTTCTGACATTGGTGCTTGGTCTATTGAAGGGAATATTTTGACGTATAACATTCAATTATATTCCTGTCTTGATGCGATTTTAACTACAACTTTTGATCCAGAGGAATGCAAAGAAGCTGTATTGGTTGTAGCAGGGGAAGAAGACCCAGAAGACCCAGAAGACCCAGAAGATCCAGAAGACCCAGAAGACCCAGAAGATCCAGAAGACCCAGAAGACCCAGAAGATCCAGAAGATCCAGAAGATCCAGAACCTACTGAAGAACCAGAAGAACCAGAACCTACTGATGAACCAGAAGAACCAGAACCTACTGATGAACCAGAAGAACCAGAACCTACTGATGAACCAGAACCCACCGATGAACCAGAACCCACCCATGAACCAGAACCAGAGCTCACCACTGTAACTAGCACTATAATCGTCACAGTCACTGACTGCGATGAAGAGGAGATCTGTACCAGTCACACTACAGAGTTCGTTACTGTCTACACCACAGTTTGTGAAGAGGAGCCTGAACCTACTCCATGCCCACCTGAAGAATGTCCTGAGCCAAAACCAAAACCAGAACCAAAACCAGAACCAAAACCAGAACCAGAACCAGTTTGTCCACCAGGAAAATGTCCAGAACCTGCTCCTGAACCTGCTCCCGAACCTGCTCCTGTACCACAACCAGAAGAATTAATCGGTGCTGGTTCAATTAACATCTTAAATGGAGTTGTTGTTTCCGCCGGTGTTTTGATTCCAGCCATTCTTTTCTTATAGTCAATTGTTTTGCTTATTTTATTGGAAGATTTTTCTTTATTCTATTTCCATTAACTATAGGACTTTCCTGACCTATAGAGTTTTCGGTACTTTGTACTACTGTGAAGTATTTTAGCTATTTTTATTTAATTACTATGAATCTACGTATTATTTTTGACAATTTAAATAAATTATATTTTAAAATTGAGAGATTTGTAGCTTCTTGGATTTACTTCTATAGCTTTAATCAAACGGTACGTGTAAAAAATCATTGGCTTTTGTTTCTACTCTGGACTGTTCCCAAATACCAGTAACATATTTATCATTGATACTGTATGTTACGGACAGTAGTATAACTAAGTAGTAATTGTTTATTTAGGTTATACCGTTCCAATTCCTTTAAGGGTATATCAAGTTACTTCGTGTAGGTGGTAACGTAACAAGATGGGTTCTGTTTATGCTACTTCTGTTCTTCAATACATAGCTATTAATAGTTCTTTTTTTACTGAGGATTCTTTCTAATATCTTGGTTTCTAAATTTACTAAACATACTGCACAAAGTTCCCTTAGTTTCCCTATAAAATTATATGATTACGTAGAGAAAGAGATGCAGACTTAATTCTGGAAATGAGCAAATATGTTACGTCATTTATATTTTTTCTCCTTTGGAAGTATTAGCGGCAACAATATAAGTAGAGCATTTTACACAACAGGAAGCCAGAATACCAACTTCACTCTGTTTGCAATTATAATTCCCTGGCCTGATGGTAGCGCTGACAATTTATCAAAACAAGAAATGGGTGCAAAATTGACCGCAAGCAAAAATTACAAAGAGTATAAATATCCCTAGAAATCCTTTAGAAATTTTTAATTTTATTTGTGTTTTCTTTTTCTTTCTTTCTTTCTTCTTTCATTAACTACCACAATCATTCATTGACATATGACAACTATTTCAATCATATATCACAACCGGAAAGGAAGGAAGGGACTATGATAACCGTACTAATCTTTCTTCTAGCTGAATCTTGCCTGAAACTAGGAAAGGATCAAGCTTCTTCATTAGAAGCTCCTTTCAGATTTATATCTTGATTGTTGAGAAAGGGAATAGCGATTTTCCGATCTTGACTTTCTTGGGTATCTTTCTAAGCTTTGGTTAATACCTGGTCAATCATTGCAAACGCAGAGCTCATTTGACCGCTATAATTCTTTGATTGGCTGGGGGTTTAAGGAAGTGACATAGGTGCAAGGTTGGCTGACTACCGCCATACTATGTACAAGTTCTGCTTGTTCATCTGTTCTCAATTCTAGAATCTAATTCTAACAACTTTTGCCTCTTTCAAAATTGAAACTATCCATTTCCATAATTTACTGCTACTGCATATAAGTATTTTGCTCTTTAACATCTGATGGGGAAGATCCTATTAGTGAAGATTTGATTTATATTACAATTGAAATTCTACCTGTACTTTCCCCTTATAAATTCTCAATTAGATTATTTTCTCTCTTCAACGAATATCTCTATTTTAATCGTTACTATTGGGATTCAATAATAAAACCATCTAAAGTGAATAGTAGTATATAGGACCTAGTTACCCGGATTGATATAATATTATTTTTTTTTGTTAAGAAAGAAAAAGAGTTTTTTTGCAAAATTTATGATGATCAAAAATTTATGAAATTCAACAACATTTTTTTTTACAACAACAACCAGATATCTCTCCATCAATCAATCACATTTACCATCACCCCCATTGCCCCCCCTTCAATTCAACCACTTTATACAAAAAGAAAGGGGAATCATATATCACATAGAATTCCTGTATTATAATTTTAATTTACGACTACTACATATTGCTATATAGTTTTCGACTTGCAATTAACAATTTTATTAAAAAATGGTGAAATTAGAACAAGAAGAGAATGAAATCCTTAATGATGCCCAATCAGGCAATTCAGAAGGATCAGGTGATGAACTTGTAGATTCTTCTGAAGAGGAAGAAGATGAAGATGACGAAGAAGCAATTAAGAAAGTTCGTGAAGGTTTCATTGTTGATGATGATGAAGAAGAAGAAGATGTTGATTCAAGAAAAAGAAGAAAGCACAAGAAAAGAAAGAGAGATAAAGAAAGATCAACTTATAATGATGATCAATTAGATGAAGATGATTTGGAATTATTATTGGAAAATTCAGGTGCTAAACAGTCAACCAAAGGTAAATTCAAACGTTTGAAAAGAAGACAAGCTGAAGAAGATGAAGAAGATGAAGGTATTGTTACTAGAGAAGAAGAAAGAGATAGAAGATCTAAAGCTGGATTACCTGATATATTCTCTGACGATGAAGAAGTAGAAGAAGAAGAAGAAGTTGCAGAAACCGGAATTCCTCGTGAAACAAATATCTTGGATGAATTTGAAGATTTCATTGAAGAAGATGAATTTTCTGATGAGGATGAAGAAACTAGATTACTAAAGATCAAAGAACGACAAAGAGTTCAAAAGAGACCTAGATTGGATACATCGAAATTATCTAACGTTGATAGAGAAAGTTTACAACAATTATTTGAAGTGTTTGGTAATGGTAATGAATATGAATGGGCATTAGAAGCACAAGAAATGGAAGATGCTGGAAGTGGTGATAGAGAAGAACCAACTTCGTTGGATGAAGTTTTCGAACACTCAGAGTTAAAAGAACGTATGTTAACTGAAGAAGATAATTTAATTCGTATAATAGATATTCCTGAAAGATATCAAAAATATCGTGCTGCTTTGAACTATATTGAATTAGAAGGTGCTGAACTTGAAAATGAAAAGAATTGGGTAGCAAATATTTTATTTAAAGAAAAACAAGGAATTTTCACTGGATTCTTAGAACTCCCATTCAAAGAAGCAGTAGGTAATGTTGTTGAATTCATCTCCAAAGAAGCATACGAAGTTCCATTTATTTGGACCCATCGACGTGATTTCTTATTATATTCTCAAGAAGTACAACAGCCTGATGGAACAATTGAAAACAAAGTCCATAAATTATTGTATGAAGATGACTTATGGAGAATTGTTCAATTAGATGTTGAATATCATTCACTTTATGAAAAGAGATTGAATACCGAAAAAATTGTTGAATCATTGAAGCTCGATGATGATTTAGCCAAAGATATTAAATCCTTGGATACAATGGTTGCAGTTCAAGATATTCATGATTATATTCAATTCACATATTCAAAAGAAATCCGTGAATTAGCCAACAATAACACCGGTAGTGATGATAATGAAGAGACAATTGACTTGAAGAGCAAAAAACATTCCAAATATGCTCTCTTTGAAAGAATCAGATCTAATATATTATATGATGCCGTCAAGGCATTTGGTATTTCCGCAAAAGAANTTTGGTGAAAACGTTCAAGATCAAAGTTCTAAAGGATTTGAAGTCCCATATAGAATTCATGCCACTGATGATCCATTAGAAGATCCTGAAGATTTAATTGAAAAATTGGTGGAAGATGATGAAGTCATTTTTAAAGATGAAAAGACTGCTCGTGATGCAGTTAGGAGAACCTTTTCAGAGGAAATTTTCCATAATCCAAAAATCAGACATGAAGTTAGATCAACTTATAAATCATTTGCATCTATTGGTGTTGCCATTACTGAAAAGGGAAGAGCAACTATTGATCAACACAGTCCATATGCTGATATCAAGTATGCGATTAATCGTTCCCCTGCTGATTTAGTAAGACATCCGGATGTATTGTTAAGAATGTTGGAGGCCGAAAGTTTAGGTTTACTTGTTGTCAAGGTTGAAACCAAAGATTTTGATCATTGGTTCCAAAGTATTTTTAACTGTTTGAAATCAGATGGATCTTCTGATATTTCTGATAAATGGAACAAAGAAAGAGAAATCGTTTTGGGTATGGCATTCAAGAAATTGAATGGTATGATTGCATTGAATACTAAAGAAGATCTTCGTCGTGAATGTGAAAGATTAATCGCCAGTGAAGTGCGTAAAAGATTTACATCTAAAGTCGATCAAGCTCCATATACTCCTTATGGTTTTGATAGAGGAACAAAACCTAATGTTTTGGCCTTAACTTTCGGTAAAGGTGATTTTGACAGTGCAGTTGTTGGTGTATTTGTGAAAGAATCAGGTAAAGTTGATGAATTTTTCAAATCTGATAATAATCCAGCAAGAGATCGTGAAAATGAAGATAGATTCAATGGACAATTGAAAGAATTCTTTGATAGAAATTTGGAATTCGCCAAACCTGACGTTATTGTCATTGGAGGTTATAATGCAACTAGTAAGAAATTATTTGATTGTGTCAAGAATTTCGTGGAAATTAATAGAATTACTGCCAATGTGGATGATTTACCTAATGTATCTAATCCGCCACTAATAAGTGTCATTTGGGGTCAAGATGAAACTGCCAGACTTTATCAAAATTCAGAAAGAGCAAAACAAGAATTCCCAGATAAACCAACTTTAGCCAAGTATGTAATTGGAATTGCAAGATATGTTCAAAACCCATTATTAGAATATATTTCTCTTGGTGCTGATATCGTATCTTTGAACTTTTATGAACATCAAAAATTAATTAATAATGATTTAATTATGGGTGCTATAGAATCGGCATTTGTTGATATTGTCAATTTGGTAGGTGTTGAAATTAATGAAGCGGTTCGTGATGATTATGCTGCCCGTTTATTACCATATATTTCCGGTTTAGGTCCACGTAAAGCATCTGGTTTATTAAGAAATATTAATAGTAAATTAGGTTCAACTTTGTCTAACAGAAGTGATTTGATCGAAGGTGAATTAATGTCTGCTAATATTTTCATTAATTGTTCTTCATTCTTGAATATTCCATTTGATGAAGGATCGGCAGTTAGAGACACATCTATTGAATTATTGGATGCAACTAGAATTCATCCCGAAGATTATGATTTAGCCCGTAAGATGGCTGCTGATGCTCTTGATTTGGATGAAGAAGATATGGCCCAAGTTGAAGAACAAGGTGGTATAATTTATCAATTAATGCAAGAAGGTGTAAGTAAAGTTGATGAATTGAATTTGATTGCTTATGGTAAGGAATTGGAAACCAAATTTGGTAAAAAGAAATATGCCACTTTACAAATGATTAAAGAAGAATTAGTTAATAATTTCGAAGAATTAAGAAGATCTTTCCGATTATTAGATAATGTGGAAGTTTTCGAAATGTTAACTGGTGAAACTAGTGTTACTTTTGCCAAGAATATTGTGGTTCCTGTTACAGTTACCAAAGTTGGTAAAGCATTCCAAAGTTATGATCAAACTGCAAGAATTAGATTTGCTAAAGTTATTACATCTTCATTAATCCAAGGTAATGTTGAAGAAGATAAGATTCCAAAAGGTGTTGATCTTGAACAAGGTCAAGTTGTCCAAGCAGTTGTACTTGATGTCAATTATGATTTATTCAGTGCTACTTTCAGTATGTTGAAGGAAGATATTAAGAAAGCATCCGCTCCTAGAACAATTAAAGAAGGTGGTAAATGGGATTTCAAGGCTGAAGAAGAAGATTGGAAGAAAGAGAAAGCCAAAGAAAGAGCTAAACTTGCCAAAATTAAAAACGTTCAACATCCTTTATATCATAATTTCAATTTCAAACAAGCTGAAGAATATTTGGCCCCTCAAAATGTTGGTGATTGTATTATTCGTCCATCATCTAAAGGTCCAGATTATTTGACTATTACTTGGAAAGTTGCCAATAATTTATTCCAACATTTATTAATTGAAGAAAGAAACAATGGAAGATTTAAAGAATTTGTTGTTGAAGGTAAGAAATATTCTGATTTAGATCAATTAGTTTTCCAACATATTCAAACTATAGCCAAGAAAGTAGAAGAAATGGTTCGTCATCCTAAATTCAGAGAAGGTACTCTTGCTGAAGTCAATGAATGGTTAGAGTCATATACGAGAGCAAATCCAAAGAGTTCAGCATATGTCTTTTGTTATGATCACAAGTTGCCTGGTAGTTTCTTGTTATTGTTCAAAGTCAATGTTAATACTCCCATCAGCACTTGGCATGTTAGAACCGAAGTTGATGGTTATATATTGAAAGGGTTCTCTTATCCAAATATGTTGAGATTATGTAACGGTTTCAAACAAACCTTTAAGTCTATTTCAAGATCTTCTGGTGCTACTAATCGTGCCCCACAAAACAATGCATATGGTAACTATGGTTATTAAAATGCAAGTAACTTTTTCATAATAAAAAGAATTTAAGTATGTAATTATAAGTTTTATTTCATAGTGTATTTTAATCCAAACAATAAATAAAAAATCAATTGTAAAACCATAAATTAAAAGTCTACTATAACTATAAACATAAGAATCTCCTACAATAAAGAAGTCAATGTGTCGTCTACTTGAATTTACGATACCCAGTACGTAATTTAGATCTAAAACTATCACCATCAACATATGTCCCCATTAACCATCTATCTCCACCATTTTCATCTGAAAACCCATTTCTCGAATGTAATGCTCTTCTATTTTCAAATATAACACAAGAACCTTCTTTCATCTTAATTTCAAAATGATTCTTTGGATCATTAATAAAATCTTCAAATAATTTAAGACCTTTCAAGAAATCATCAAACATAGCATAATACCCTTTATCAACAGCATTATCACCTTCAGTTTCCGCAATTCCAATTTCTAAAGGACCTTGAAATGGAGGTGAATAGTTGACTACTTCAATAGGTGGGAATTCTGAAGTGACTTCAGAAACATCAGGGTTTTCAATAACTACTGGTCTCTTAAAATAATAATATTCTCCATTATTGTCATAATGATAAGTTATAGGAATCTTGGTTAATGCATCATATGCCACGGGATCAACATTTCTAACATGTTGAGCCGCCAAGAATGAATCACAAAAGATGTTTTCACCTCCAATTGTAGAATTCTTAAGGAAATGTAATAATTGTAACCCAGGTGGAGATTCATAATATAAAAGATCCATATGAAGAGGTAAGAAAGTATTTGAATTGGCAATATTTTTGGCTTCTTCCTTTTCATTCTTAACATCAAATAAAGTACCATAGAATGTCTTTTTGATATATCCGAACCTAGATGCTAATTTAAATACCGGCCATTGGGTGGCATTTTCTTCATTCATGGATTGTAATACTGGTTCTGGGATATTGTTAATGAATGTTAATCCATATTTGTTCAAATTGTATACTGTTTGGAAAAATATTTCTTCATTATTAAAGAAATCATTATAATCAACTTGTAATGATTCAAGATTATTTTCAATTTCTTGTTTATCCCATAATTTTCTATCTTTATCAAAGAATTTTCCAATTCTACGACCAGCTTTAGTTGAATAATTTTCCAAGAATGAAACAGGATATTTAGAATTCATAATACTACCATTATTACTCCATTTAACCAGTAATATATTTTCATTAGTCTCAGGATTTTGAATCACTGCTGGTGGAGAAGCAATTGAAAGTTTATCAGCACCTTCAGAAGTAGTGAATAATTTCTGTTTGGTGCATTGATCAACTGCTTTTGGACATTGACAAGAATCTCTTAAGAATGCAGTTTTAAATTTAACATTCTTGTCATTGATTGATAATGAGATCTCATTGTCATTGAATGTATTGATTGACAACAGGGAAGTAGATACAAATCTGGAAACAGAAAGATACTTTGCTCTTGATAAGGTTGATCTGGATAATCTGGTTAACATCCTAGAGGGGACACTGTATTCAATGGAAATGATAAGAAGAGATAAAGGAATGGATAAGAATAAATTTTCAGTGAAAGAAAATAAAATCGTACCACATCCGTATACTGTGTAAAAAAAAAAAAAATCAAAATTATTTTACATTTGTTGAATCGGTGGAAGTGGGGCAGTAAAATTACATGTCGGATATTTTTTTTTTTAAGTCTGGGGTAAACAAAAACAAAATTGGATTAAAGAATATTTTGCAATTAGATTTTAATTCTTTTCAACCGTTTTCTCTATTTGAAATATTTTATAAACCAGGCTTAGAGTAGGCTCACGTTTAATATTGATGGACCCTGCTTTCAAGATACTAGTTCGTTTTCTATTGCAACATTATAGATTTTATGAGTCACAAAATCACATCCTCGGATGTTGCACGAAGTCTTTTTCTACTCATCAAATGGGTTTGAAACTTCATTATATATTCCCAATTGACTCTCCAAAAACATATAGCAAAGGTATGACACTTCCAATCGATGTTCGGTAGGTTCGCAAGATCTAAAAATGAAAATTAGGATCCATTTTCATGTCTTTCTAGGACAGCCTTTCAGGCAAAATTTACTCTTTTTTGATAGTTGTCTCTCTCACATTAAATTTTGAGATACAGACCTGATATTATAATGAATTACATTCCTGTTGTCTATTCTATTGCATGTATCAATTATTTTGATTTTATCAAGTCGGTAAGCTTCATTTATGGTCTTGATTCCCTAAATATGAAAAGTACTACAAAAAATTTACCAAATTTTCAACATCAAATATTTCACAATAGTTGACCTTTTTCAAGCATTCCAAAGAGATAAACATATATTTACTAAAGTATAGAAGTAAAAAATATAGTTAAAGTAGGTATAACTTCAATATTGACGGAAATAGGAGTTTTAAAAAATCATTATAAAAGGAAGCGGAATTTTCGAAAACTCGGGAATTGGGTACTCTGGCCGAGCTGGTCTAAGGCGCCAGGGTAAGGTCCTGGTCTCTTCGGAGGCGCGAGTTCGAATCTCGCGGGTATCATTATACACACCAGCAATTCCCTTTTCATTTATTTTTTTATTTTTGGTTTGCCTGAGATATAGAATTGATGGGATATTCATTGGATCAATTTCTAGAGTTGTTGGATGAATATAAGAGGTCTTACTTTCGATGTATATGACGCGGACAGGGGAATGGTTTATAAGCTTTTTTTTTGTTTACGTTTCCAGTGCGGCGCACCAGAGTATGAAATTTTAATTGTCCATGCGTTTAGTTGTAGTGTCTATCTTTATAGCTACGCTTCAGACCATCTCATTTAATGAAAAGTTACTAAGAGTAAGCAATGCATGGTTAAATTCCAAAAGATGTTAGTTTAATTAAATTTTACAATAAAAAATGAAAAAATACACGAAAAGTTTTTCATTTAATTATGAATTTTAGTTACACAATAAAAACAAATAAATTAAATTTATAATTTTTTTTTTCGTGTTTCTCCTTCTCTCTCTCATTCTCCAATCATTCAATTTACA